CATAGGGGACTACAGGCAAACCTCGGACACATTGTGGGTTCGGCCCCAGACCACCATAATAAATACTGCAGTTAAGTGAGTCACTCGGATGTTTTGGTTTCTCAGAGCACATAAAAGTTATGTTTACACTCTATTAAGTGTATGTTAGTTTTATGTCTAAAAACATTGTACGTACTTTAAAGAATACTATTAAAAATGCTCACCATCTTCTGAGCCTTCAGTGAGCTGTGATCTTTTGCTGGTGGAGGGTCTGGCATCCATGTTGATGAACATGCAGAATCTGCAAACTGCAGCCAAGCGAGGTCTGCTTGCATAGGGTGTAGGAACCTTTATATAGGGGTGGCCAGTCTGGAGTGTACCCTGGCATTCTTTCGGCAAAGATAAGGATAACATACTCTTTGATTCTCAGTTCCATTCCTGAGTATAAATCACAAACAAGTTCTCACCCTGGTCCATGAGTGAATATGTCTGCTCTTCTTTTGTTGGTTAGAGCCTTACGGCAGGGTGTTGGTGCTGGTCCCTCCCCTTCACTGGAGGAGCAGGTAGGTGACTAGGGCATGCACCCCAGAGTGTCCTGCTGCAGATGGAAGCAAGGGGTTAGATATAATCACAGGAACATGGATGGATGCTGAAGACACTATGGAGGAAAAGAAGTAAGGAAACAGAAGGAGATATATAACTGCCTTTAATGTGAATTACAAATTACACGCACACAAAACAACATGCAAGAACACATTCACACAAAAAGGTAGTCATTAAGCCCTGGCCATTTTGGCTCAGCAGTTAGGGCGTTGGCCTGCAGACCAGAGTCCTGGGTTCGGTTCCTGCTAAGGGCGTGTACCTTGGTTGCAGTTTGTCTCTGGCCCCAGTTGGGGTCGTGTGGGTGGCAACCAGTCGATGTGTCTCTCTCACATCGATGTTTCTCTCTTCCTCCCTCTCTCCCTCCTGCTCTATCTGAAGAAAAGTACAAAAATGTCCTTGGGTGAGGATAAAAAAAAAAAAGTCATTAAAAACATTGGATGGCCCTGGCCAGTTTGGCTCAGTGGTTGGAGCGTCGACCTGCGGTCCCGAGAGACCCGGGTTCCTGCTAAGGGAATGTACCTTGGTTGCAGTTTGTCCCCAGCCCTGGTTGGTCGTGCGGGTGGCAGCCACTCGATGTGTCGTACCTTTCACGTTGATGTTTCTCTCTCTCTCTGTTCCTCTCTCTCCCTCCCATTCTACCTGAACAAAAAATGGAAAAATGTCCTCGGATGAGGATAAAAAAAACAAAAAACATTGGATGACTGATGGTGGAGGAATGGGAGTGGCACATGGGGGTACAAAGAAATAAATAGGTAGCTAAATAAATAAAAGGAGAAAAGTGATAGTCCTCACTCTATAGATTTGCCTGGAGAGTTAAATGGGCCCCTGTGAGTTAACCGCCTCGACTGTGCCGGGTGCCTGTGTAGCCTTGCTACAGACTGAGGTGTGATGGGCAGCTGTGTGTGACCCCTTTGCTGATCCTCTCTTCCCTGGGTTCCAGGTCTTGTTTGCCACAGAGACCTTTGCCATGGGTGTAAATATGCCAGCCCGAACAGTGGTGTTTGACTCCATGCGAAAGCACGATGGCTCCTCCTTCCGGGACCTGCTCCCTGGAGAGTACGTGCAGATGGCTGGCCGGGCTGGCCGGAGAGGCCTGGATCCCACAGGCACTGTCATTCTGCTCTGCAAGGGCCGAGTGCCCGAGATGGTGGACCTGCACCGCGTGATGACGGTGAGCCCCTTCCCCCCTCCTTTCTTTCTCCTTTATTTGCTTTTGCCTGCGAGAAGCTAAGGTAGGAGTGAGCAGATCCTAGGGTGAGACTGGGTCTCATCTGTAGTCTTTCCCACTGTGAATACGATCTAGTAGGACCTTTGTGAATCTATCACTTAGTTTCACTCTCTTATTTTGCAGAGGTGAGCAGGCAGTTTGTCTAGGTCCCATGGTTGCAGAGCTGGGACTAGCTCTCTGGGGGCAGAGCCCGTCCGCAGAGGGTTGGCTGGGGAGCAGCAGGCCCACCCTGGTCTCCCTTTCCTCCCCAGGGTAAGCCATCACAGCTGCAGTCTCAGTTTCGCCTCACATATACAATGATCCTCAACTTGCTGCGGGTGGACGCCCTCAGGGTGGAGGACATGATGAAGAGGAGCTTCTCTGAGTTTCCGTCCCGCAAGGACAGCAAGGTGAGGGGTCAGGGTGACCAGTATGCTGGACTGGATGTTGGGCAAGGGGAGCCAGGCCAGGAAGAGGTGGGCATGTAGAGGCCAGTGGGGTGCAGGTGGTGATGTGGCAGACAGCCCAGAGACTTATTTCACACTTGCACCTTGCTTCTGCCCAGGCCCATGAACAAGCTCTGGCTGAGTTAACCAAGAAGCTGGGGGCCTTAGAGGAGCCTAACCTGACTGGCCAGCTGGCGGACCTGCCCGAGTATTACAGGTGGGGAGAGGAACTGACGGAGACCCGCAGCCTGATCCAGGTAAGCAAGCGTGTATGTGTTGGTGGGGTGATGGAGGAAATAGACAAGGAGACACTGGGTGCTCCTGAACCTCTCCCAGCACCCGACACTTCCTTCTTTATCCCTTTGTGCTTATCCCCACTCTTCAGCAACGTGTCATAGAGTCTATCAATGGGCTCAAGTCTCTCTCAGCAGGAAGGGTGGTGGTTGTGAAGAATCAGGAGCATCATAACGCATTGGGTGTGATCCTGCAGGTGACGCAAGGGGAGTCTGGGCCCCAGAGGGAGGGAGGAACAAGCCCTCTCTGTTTCCCCTACTTGCTGGGGACAGGTTACAATCAGCAGTACTCTCATTTTTCCTCTTGCCTTCCTGTCCTTCCCATCACCACTTCATGCACACCTCCTTGCCTTCTGCCCTCCTCCACATCCCCCACCTTCCAGTCTGCTGATTGCTTGACTTGGTCTGTACTGGTGGGCTCTGCGTGGTTGCTCCATGATCCCTGCTTGAAGGTGAGCACCTGGTCTCTACCTTTGGTGTCCACTGCTCTCATTGCCCTGCCCTGGCCTCCCCATCTCCCCTAGGTTTCCTCAAACTCCACCAGCAGAGTATTCACAACTCTGGTCTTGTGTGATAAACCCATATCTGAGGACCCACAGGAGAGGGGTTCAGCTTCCCCAGGTGTGCCCTACCCAGATGACCTCGTGGGATTCAAGCTGTTCCTGCCTGAAGGTGAGAGTGGGGCAGATGTCCAGGTTCCTAACAGCAGTGAAGGCAGGACACCTGGGTTCATGGTGAGGTCTGACCTCACTCTTCCCTTTCCCCAGGGCCCTGTGACCACACTGTGGCCAAGCTCCAGCCTGGGCACATGGCCGCAATCACCACCAAAGTGCTCAGGGTGAATGCGGAGAAGATCTTGGAGGATTTCAGCAAGAGGCAGCAATTGAAATTCAAGTTAGAGATGCTGGGGAGGACCCCTTTCCTGGGAAGGGACCATGTGATGGGGCGTGGGGAGGTGTGGTTGGGGTGGCTCCCCTAGCATGAGGGGTGCTCTTGTGGACATCTCAGGACCTGCTCCTTCCTCAGGAAGGACCCTCCCATTGCTGCGGTGACAACTGCTGTCCAGGAATTGCTGCGCCTGGCTCAGGCCTACCCAGCAGGACCCCCAACTCTTGACCCTGTCAATGACTTGCAGCTTAAGGATGTGTCAGTGGTTGAGGGGGGACTCCGGGCCCGGAAGCTAGAGGAGCTGATCCGGGGGGCTCAGTGCGTGCACAGCCCCCGTTTCCATGCCCAGGTAGGGCCCTGGATGCCAGCTTCTAAGCTTTTTCTCTCTGGTCCCCTGTAGGCTGTCCCCCCGTCTCAGCTCTGGTCCTCAGGCCATGTAGGGCCAGGGAAAGGCTAACCCGCTCCTGCCTGTGGCTCTCCACAGTACCTGAAGCTGCGGGAGCGAATTCAGGTGCAGAAGGAGATGGAGCGGCTACGCTTCCTGCTGTCAGACCAGTCGCTGCTGCTGCTCCCCGAGTACCACCAGCGAGTAGAGGTGAGAGTAGTGGTGGTGGTGGCTAGTGAGGGAGGATGGCAGGCTCCCAGCAACCACCATCTTCTGTCTAGGTGCTCCGAACCCTGGGTTATGTAGACGAAGCGGGCACGGTGAAGCTGGCAGGGCGGGTGGCTTGTGCCATGAGCAGCCATGAGCTGCTCCTCACTGAGCTCATGTTCGACAATGCTCTGAGTGCCCTGCGGCCAGAGGAGATTGCGGCCCTGCTTTCCGGCCTGGTCTGCCAGAGCCCCGGGGACACTGGGGAGCAGCTCCCAAGTACCCTCAAACAGGTATTGGGCCCCTATCCCTCTTTCCCTCCCCTGGCTGCAGCACTCCCAGTCCCCACCCCCAGGTTTCCCCAAGTGACCTCTCCAGCCCTGTAAGTACCCCTAAGAGCTGGAATGGCTTCTTCCTTGATAGTCCTGGAAGGTGGGTCTTACCCTGTCCTTCCCCATCTGCAGGGAGTGGAACGTGTCTGTGCTGTGGCCAAGCGGATTGGTGAGGTCCAGGTGGCCTGTGGCCTGAACCAGACAGTGGAGGAATTTGTCGGGGAGCTGAACTTTGGGCTGGTCGGGGTTGTGTACGAGTGGGCTCGGGGCATGGTGAGTAACTGGAGTTTGAGGTTTTGCAGACGGCTGGTTGGGGAGAGATGTGCCCAGGTGTATCAGTTCAGTCCCCGCCCTGCTTCCCCCATAGCCCTTCTCCGAGCTGGCAGGGCTTTCGAGGACCCCTGAGGGCCTGGTGGTCCGCTGCATCCAGCGCCTGGCCGAGATGTGTCGCTCACTGCGGGGAGCAGCCCGCCTAATAGGCGAGCCTGTGCTAGGCGCTAAGATGGAGACGGCAGCCACCCTGCTGCGGAGGGACATTGTCTTTGCAGCGAGTCTCTATACTCAGTGAGTGACCCCCCATGTGAAACGTAATAATAAAATGCCAAACCAGCTGTGTGTACTTGAGATGCTGGGGAGGGTGACACAGCAGGGAGAACCACCTAGAAATATGCCTTTAACTGCACAGAGACAGAACCAGCCCCCCTGAAATATCAGTCCTTAGGGGACGGTGTCTTGGGGGGCGATGGGAGCTCCTGAGTCATGGCTCCCACGTACCACGTGGGCAGGAAGGCATGGGGTGCATCTCGATGTACAGACACTGTGACTGGGCTGCCGGGCTCCCAGGAGAAGAGGTGGACGAGCCTGGGGGAAGATGGGAGTCACCAGCTGAGGGTTGGAGGCTGGGCTGATGGGACCCAGATAGGGGCAGAGCTGAACGCCTCACCTGGGGTCATCCTGGACCACTGTGTTCTGGGCAAAGCTAAGGAAGGCGGCACAGAAGTTCATGCACACGGAAGGATTCCAGCCATCACGGTCATTCTGGGGAGGGCCAAGGAGGAGGCAGAGACAAGTGAGGGCAGACACAATGCAGCCCTGGACACAAGATCTGGGGTCTTGGTTTGCAGGTACAGGTGGGTGCTGTGACACCATCGCCTTACCCTGACATGTTCAAACATCTGCATGGTGGGGAAGGTCTTTAGGGAACAGACGAAACCCTCTGAGTTACGGAAGCCAGCGACAACATTTGGGACCCCCAGGAGAAACGACTGAGCCCACCATTTCAGGAGCTTGTGTCTGTAACGAAAGATGAGTCAGGGGGACCCCACCTTCAGCCTCCTCCTCTTCTCCCAAGTCCCTTCCCCAGCTGTCAGTTCTAAGCTGTGGCCCTGTCCACCCCCCTCCTGAACCTGTAGAAGCTCCTCCATTGGCCAGGGCTGTGCATCTCCTTGGAGGTCTTGAGCTCCACATAGCAGGTGGGGGGCTGTGGGGATAGGGCCTGGGGGTCTGTGCAGTCTACCTCCCCTGAGAAGAGCAGAGGGTGGTTTCCCAGGCGGCTGCGTAGCACAGAGCAGAAAGCCACGTTGGTGTTAACCTCCCCAGAGGGGTCCGGGGAGCCTCCAGGTTTGTCTGTACAGGAAAGAAGATGCAATGGGTCGGGGTTCTGTCTCTGGGGAAGAGGGAGGAGGCTACAGAGCAGGGGCAACTCTCACCTGCACACATGTACTGCTCGAACTTGTACCCCATGTACATAAGCTCCCGGAGGAGGGGTGGCCGGGCAAGCCTTTGAGCTCGCGCAGCCGGGGTCTCTACCTCACTCAGGTACAGTGTCCCCTGGAACCTGGAGGCCGCCAGCTGCCAGCCCTCTTGCCGCTCATATGGTGTTGTTAGCAGTTTTGTCAGGTGTCCCCGCCATGTCACTATGGCCCCAGCCAGCCAGCCTGGACCCCTGAGAGAGAGGAGTTAGAGGCTAGAGAATCTCAGATGGCTCCCCCAAAGAAGAGCCCAAGTTCCTTTCAAGGACTGAATGCCCTCCAGCTTTCCTAATCTTAGGGGCAGGTGCAGGTCTCCGTCTACTAGTGTGATCTGCTCTGCTCACCCCTCCAGCCGGCCTCGGTGCTCCAGGAGCCAGCGCAGCAGATGGTCCAGGCCCTCTCGTACCTCCTCATCCCGGGGCTGGTATCGATGGGGGTATCCGTCTCTGAGATCAAAGTTGGGGCCCTGACCATTGGTGGGGGGTGGGCTGTAGTAGCGCAAGGCGTGGGCATCTCCATGGTACTGGCGTTGGGCGTCCAGGGAGAAGTAGCCCATCTGGGAAGGGCGCCGGTAGAAAGGAAAGGGCCCGGAGTAGAGGGCAGGGTCTGTGGGCAGTGAGGGTGCTGGGCAGGGCAGTTTGTTCCGAGGTTCGGCTACTTCTATCTTCCCAGCTCCTCTCTTGGTCCCTCTGGGCTCCATGAGGTCCTGAGGTGGGTGAGGGACAGTTCCCCTTTGATAGAGGAGGCCTGGAGAACGGGGCCTCGGGCTCAGGACGGAGTGAGTTTCCTGGCGGCCAGGCTCGGCCCCAGCCTCTCCAACAGCACCGCGCCGAGCGCTCCGGCCGGTCCCGTCGGCGGCGCCCCTCCCACGCTCCTCCCCAGGCGGTGCGGTTAGGAAGGGCGTTTGGGCCACGACCCGGCAGCTGGTCACCTCAGCCCGCCAGCCTCGACTCCCACCTCCGCGGAGCTATGACGTCTCCGCAGGCACACCCGGTCGAGGCGGCACGCAGAGCTGGTTTCGGCTCTCGGTGACGCGATCATTCGGCGACAGCGCGGCCAAGCCCTCGCACCAGGAGCTTGGTCGTTCCGCGGCCGGCGGCCGGGACGAGGGAGCTCCGGCGGCAGCCACGCGGCCCGGCCGCCCGGGAGCTGGAGGCCGCACCCGCGCCGCCCGCGCAGCCGGGCCTACGGGCGGACGGGGCCGGGTCTCCGCACCGCGGCGTCTAACTCACGCTCGGCCGCCGGCCTCCGAGGACGTCACCGCTCCGCGCCGGAAGGCTCCCGTTTCGTGGGCTCTACCGCGGCCCCGACCCCTTCCGCGGCCCCGCCAGACCCCGGGCCATGAGCCGGAAGCGGCCGCGCCTGGTCCCCGAGACCCTGGGGCTGAAGAGGCGGCGGGACCGAGGGCCTGCGGAGGCAGATCCTTCGAGGGGCGTTGCAGGTAACCATGGCAACCCCGGGGCGATGCTCGGGACCCAGCCCCGGCGGCCTGGCCTCTGGTCAACCTGGTGTTGGGAGGACGGTGCCCCCATGAGCGCCCCACGGACCAGGCCTCTCCGCCAGGGTCGGCGCGCGCCGCAGTCGCGGAGCTGGTGCGGCTGTTCCCGCGAGGCCTGTTCGAGGACGCGCTGCCGCCCATCGTGCTCAGGAGCCAGGTGTACAGCCTCGTGCCGGACCGGACGGCGGCTGACCGGCAGCTGGTGAGGGGCGTCGGGCCACCGAGCGAAGCCGCACTCAGGCTTTCCGTCCGCCAGCCATCCTGCTGTTCACACACAGGGGCCTCCCTGGGCCAGGGACTGCGCTGCCGGTGCCGGGAGACCGCCCAGACCCTGTTGGAGGACCCTCGGGCAGTAGGGTCCAGATCATGGAGGTGGAAGAGCGAAGTAATCGGGGAAACTGAGTCACTGGGCATGTTTGGAACCTGCAGCGCTGGGAGTGCAGGCAACAGATGACAGACAACGAGCCTTGCGCATCAGTGTGGTTCCGCTTTACACCGGAGGGCGATGAGCGTAGAGCACGGTCAACAGGAGAGGGGACGGTGTGTTGGGTGGCTTGGAGGTACTGAGATGAATATACCGCAGCTGAGAATGGGTGAAGGCCTAAATTAGGGCAGTGTAGTAGGAAGGGAGAGATTGGGTGAGGGTGAATGATGTGCGGGGTGGAGGAGGGAGGAATCCAAGATAACTCTCCGATTTTGCAGATGACAGGCTGAGAGGTTGCTTGGTGGAGGGAATAGACTAGGAACACATTGATTTATTGGGCAGAAATGATGTGTTTAGTTTTGTACAAGTTGAGTTGGAGGGCTTGTGGAGTGTCCAAAGGTAAATATATCTAGACAGTTGCAGCTGAGGTTCTGGAGAGAATTCTGGGCCAGTGATACAGTATTGGAAGTTATGGAGATGGGAGTAGTGGTTCATTTTGTAGGATGTGGGTGAGATCGGGTAGGAAGAGTGAGTAGAAGGGTGATTTTTAACCTTTTTACCAACTTCAGGAGATAATGAAAGCTATGGCTCTCTTTACAGAAAAATCCATACATGCCACATATATACAAGTTACATGTACAATTGCAGGGGGGGGGGGGTTCACAGATCTTCTGAGACCCCAGGTTTACAGTGAAAGATAATAGGGTCAAATCCACAGTGCTGGGAGATACCAACATTTAAGGCATTGTTTTTCAGAGTATGTCCTGAGTTCTACCTGTGAGAATTATTTGGGCCGCTTCTTCGAAAATACTCAGGCTAATGAATTAAGATTTCTTATAGTAGCACCTGGGAATCCACGTTTTTGAACTACTGCCCCAATGAGTCTTAATGTGCCTTAAAAATTGAGATCCACTGATGTGAGGGGAAAGCAGAGGAAGATTAGTTTGTAAAAGAGGCTGAGAAGGAATGGCCAGAATTGGGGTAAGCCAGGAAGGAGCCTATTGTGAAAGTAGAGATTTTCAACAAGGTGGAGTATTTGGCGATTTTAAACCTGTGATTCAGGGCAGTGGTCTTGTGAAGAGGTCAAGAAAAATAATATCCCAAATCTGCCCATTGGGTTTAGCAGGTGGAGTGTTATGGCAGAAAAGGGAAGAACAGGAGGATGGAGACTAGCTCCAGTCTACGGGGAAGCCAGTCAGGTGGAACCACTCCTCACACAGTATTTGTTGTTTTTGATCTACTGGTGTTAAGCTAAATTTTTAAAAAGCTTTAAAATTTGGCACAAAAGAAAATATTAACATGCACATGCACAATTTAAAGAATGTTTACAAGGCCATTTAACCACCACCCGAGTCAGACTATAGAGCACAGCCAGCACTCTACATATATTGCTCTCTGATCAGAATGCCTTAGGTCCCTGCAGGGTGACTACTATCCTGACTGGTATGATAATTGTTCCTTTGGTTTTCTTTGTACCATCTATGTATTTATTCATAAACAACATAACTTAGTTTTACCCAATTTTGAACTTGATATAAACAAATCATACTATATGTATTTATTTATATCTTGTTTCATTAGATGAATATTTTTGAGATTCTCCCAAGTTGTTGCATTTAGCTCTAGTGAATTTGTTTTCATTTTTATGAACCTGTCCTTTCTTTGTTCATTCTTATGGAAGAAATTGTATTTATCTAGGAATTTGTTGGTTTCATCTAAACTTTTAAATTCATTGGCATGAAGTTTGCAATTTCATTTTATTATTTGTAGAATCTGTAATGATGACCCTTTTTTCATTCTTTATATTGTTTATCTGTGCTTTTTCTAGGTTTCTCCTCTCTTTTTCTTGGTCAGTCTACCAGTGGCTTATCAATATTAATAGTCTTTCAGAGAATTAACATTTAGCTTTGTTGCTCTCTTGTTTGTATGTTTTCCATTTCATTGTTCCCCCGCCAACCCCCACTAACTTATCCTTTCTTCTTTTCTAATAATAAATGCATGGCAGACTGTAGTTTTCCACTAAGTATTGAGATTTAGCTCTCTCCCCCAAGTTTTGGTATATATTTTCATTTCAAAACGTCTTCTAATTTGCTTTGTGATTTTTTTTCTTTGATTCATTGGGTTGATTAGTAATGTATGTCTTAATTTCTAAACATTTTCTTATTACCTTATTATTACTTGTTTCTGGCATAAATGATATTGTGATCAGAAAACAGGCAATATGATTTCAGTTATTTGAAACTTATTGAGACTTGCTTTGTGCCATGTAGTCAGGTTTGCTAAACAGTGTATGTGCATTTGAGAAAATATGCATTATTCAGTTATTAATGTTAGTAAGTAAAGTTACTATTGAAGTCTTCTAGTTCCTTGCTGGTTATTTTGTCTGTTTATGAGTTAATGAGAGTTGGATTAATATACTTTTGTGATTGTGGACATGCTATTGTCTCTTCAAATATTTTCCCTACTTTATCTCTTTTCATTTCTTCTAGGACTCCAACTAAATATATGTTGGACCTTCTCTTTTTATTCTTTAAGTCTCTTGGCCTCTAGTCTGCATTTTCAATCATTTTGACTATATTATATTCTGGTTAGTTTTTTTTTACCTGTCTTACATATTAGTAGCTTTTTATTTAGCTGTGCCTTAACCCATTAAGCCCATCCATTGAGTCTTTAATTGCACTTGCCAGTTCTAGAATATCTACTTGGATATTTTTCAAATATATTATGTCAATTTTAATAATTCCCTGCTAAAAAATTCTATCTTGGCTTTTATTTGTTTCAGCATTATAAACATAGGGATTTTTTAAGTCTGTTTTTGCTACTTCCCTGATAATATGTCTTTTGGGGTCTGTTTCTAGTGAATTTTGTTTCCTGGTGTGCCCAGTATTTTTGACTGTGCTGGACAGATTTGCCTAAATCATCAAATGCCCTCCATGTCCCAATTACTTCTATCAATTCTTTTGTTCACGTATTATCTTGTGAGCTCTTTGATGCTTTACAATTTAAAATATAATGTTTTATCCAGCATTTTAATTTTCAGCAGGTGAATTTCTTAGAAACAGTAGTCCTGTTTGATTTTATTTGTTTTAAACATTTTATCACATATTCCTCCCCACCTTCCTCTACCCAAAATCTAGACTGTTAATTCTTGAGGGCATGGTCTATGTCTTAATCACTATTTTATCTTAGTATCTGGCATATGATTGGTCTTAGAAAATATGTACTGATAATTTGACACAACAGATGAGGTCAGTGGGTAAGAGGGTGGGTCACCAATTGAAAAAGACTATTTGGTGATTCAAGTGATTCTCTCCCCATAGTTTTTCCTTTGCTTAGTGAAAAACTCCCCAGTATGGGCAGAGTGCCCAGAGTATGACAGAGCACCTTACCCTGACACCCTTCTTTTCATTCCCATCTTTCTGGAGACAGAAGGAACTTCAGGAACAGAGGGAGATCAGAGTCGTCCAGCTAGGCTTCGACCTGGATGCCCATGGGATTATTCTCACTGAAGACTACAGGACCATAGTGCGTGTGACTGTCATGGGCGGTGGGGTGGGCAGGCATGGGAGCTGGGAAAAGGAAATCAAAAGAAAAGAGGCAGTTACCCACTCCACAGAGGGCAGAAGGCTCTGGTGAGTGGTCATATGAGGGAGGGGAAGGAGGAAGAAGAAAGGTTTGAGAGGCAGAAAGAACTGAACAAAAGGGAATCTGCTTCCTGTGTGCAGAGAAATATCCTGGGGAGGAGGTCACTGGAGGGTGGGGCCAGTCCAGTTTGTCATCTCTGGTTCCAGGTCCTCAAGGCCTGTGATGGCCGATCATATGCTGGGGCTGTGCAGAAGTTTCTGGCTTCGGTGCTTCCAGCCTGTGGAGACCTTAGTGTTCAGCAGGACCAAATGACACAGACCTTTGGCTTCAGGGACATGGAAATCACGTGAGATTTGGGGGAACCAATCAATTCAGGCATCTGGCTCCTCCCTGCCTCCCTCCCATCCAGCCTGTCCTTGTTCTTTTGCTGAACCTGCCCAAAAGGTTGACTTTTTTTTTTTAAGTAAAATGTTCTAAATTTGTATCCCTCCCCCAACAGAGGAGGCCTGTCTTACCTGGGCCTTGGAAAGAGCCCTGGACTAAAATGCAAGTGATCTGTGTGGCTGATCAGATGTATCTAGAGGCCTGGCAGGGACCATAAATGCCTGATGTGAATCGTGCTAGACTCTGTGTGTGTGGTGGGAACTAAAGCACTCACATCCAAAAGCACAGCACCCGGGCACAAGTAAGATAAAAATATCAGTGTAGGGGGTTGTACCTGGCTCAGGCCCCCTACTCTGTAAGCCATGGCCCAGGTGAAGGCATTTATGAGCTGCTTTTTTGGGCGGTGTGGTAGGAGCTGTGGTGAGGTGTGCGTGGGCAGTGGCAGGAGCACAGAAAAACCCCTTTCTCCCCTGGGGTTGGGACTGAGCGAGTGTCGGCTTGTGGTCAGGGAGGGCTTCCGAAACCGGTTTTAGGGAACAAGTAGCAGGAAAAGAGGACAGTTGGGTAGGTGGACGAGACATGAGAACTGCTCCAAGGGGGTGGGGATGTCTGTTATCTGGTCCCTTTGCCTGGTTGCCCATGTTTCTGGAGACAGTGTCCAAACATTAGCAGGCAGGGAGGAGAGAGGATTCTCAGAGCCAAGACCTCATCTCTCCTGGCTTCCCACCCACTCAGGCAGCTGGTGAACGCTGGAGTCCTCACTGTCCGAGATGCTGGCAGTTGGTGGCTGGCCGTGCCCGGAGCTGGGAGATTCATTAAGCATTTTGTTAAAGGTATCCTGTCTGCAGCTCAAACTCTTAGCCCCTCAAGAACACCTTTTGGTGGCTCCTCTGGCCTGCAGGCCTTACTCCCTGCTCCTGTGCCACCTCTCCTCTAGGGCGCCAGGCTGTGCTTGGCATGGTCCGGAAGGCTAAGTACCGGGAACTACTCCTTTCAGAGCTCCTGGGCCGGCGGGCACCTGCCTCGGTGAGACTCGGCCTTGCCTACCATGTGCATGACCTCATTGGGGCCCAGCTGGTGGACTGGTGAGTCTTGCCTCCAGCCTGTGGCAGGCAACAGAACAATGACCCAAAGAAAAGTTGGGTTTCCTTCCCACTCTTGCTTCCTTCAGTAGGAAGTCCAACTTTTCTCTTCTCTGGAACCTGGGAACATCCCTGGCCAACTTCTGAGTTCTCCCCAGACCTTGGGCCTACATGTCTGGATCCAACTGTGTCTTTCTCTTGCACAGTGTCTCTACCACTTCTGGAACCCTTCTGCGCCTGCCAGAGACGTGAGGATTCTATTCGTCGTGGCAAACCTTCCCAAGAGGGGCCCAGGAGTGTTGCTGCCCAGTGGTGGCTGAGACAAGGTCACCTTGGGAAAGCTTGAGGCCAGGAGGATGAGTGTTGGACTCACGGGCATGCAACGTCAGGTGTGCCTGCTGCTGTTGACCTGTGCTCCGAGCCAGTGGGCAGTGCTTCTCTGTCCTTCTGTGGAAGTGGAGCCAGAAACGGTGCCAAGGCCATGGCTGCTGCCTTTCGTGCAGCAAGGTGCTGCTTTCATTGTCTTGGGAAGGAAGGTGGGGTTTCCGAGGAGGCTGGTGAGGGAGGGCAGGGCTCTTCTCTGCGTGTTGGGTTGAAACTGCCAAATAAAGTATTTGTGCTGGTGCTCTTTCCTGGGTGTTTTTTTTAATGTGATGTGTGACTCCTTGTTGGGGGTAGAGGTAAAGCCATAGTTGGGCCTAAATTTGGCCTCATTGTTCAGAGAGGAAAAGAGATGTCGAGGTCAGTTTTCCCTGTGTTGTGGTGAGGCTGATCTTCTAAACCATGGAATTTCCGGGAGGGCCTAGAGAAGACAAAGGCTTGCCCTGGCCGTTTTGGCTCAATGGTTAGAGCATTGGCCTGCGGTCCGGAGCGACCCGGGTTCGGTTCCTGCTAAGGGCACGTACCTCAGTTGCAGTTTGTCACCGGCCCTGGTTGGTCATGTGGGTGGCAGCCACTCAATGTGTCCCTTTCACGTCGATGTTTCTCTCTCTCTTCCTCTCCCTCCCTCCCACTCTGTCTGAACAAAAATTGGAAAAATGTCCTTGGGTGAGGATTAAAAAAAAAAATTAAAAGACAAAGGCTTGATGTTGTTCAGAGAGACCAGTGTTTTATCACCTTTTATTGTCAGGACCTTGACAAAGGAACCTTGTTTCTCTAGCCGGGTGCTGGACTGGGGTGAGGGGGTTAACAGTGAGGGACAGTATCTCTGGGCCATGACTTCCTCAGACTCCTTCAGAGGTCCAGGGTGTCCCCCCCACCCCCAACACTGGGCTTGGGGCCAGTTTTATTTCTTGGCTGTCACGTGGTTTCCCAGCTTAGCTGGGTCAGGGGAGGGGCAAAGTCCAGAGTCAACTCTGCTCCAAGGCAGAGCTTGACCAGAAAGGGGCACACAGACAGACGGGTCTGGTCTCTCTCGGGTCTTCCAGCCATGAGGCTCCTCTGGGGGCTGATCTGGGCATCCAGCTTCTTTGCTGTGTCTCTGCAGAAGCCCAGGTCCTGGGAGCAGGGTGCTGTGGTTGCTGAGTGGAGGCACAGGGGTGGAGGGGCTGAGGAGCCCCACTGCTGACCCTGCCTGTACTCCCCAGGTTGCTCCTGTTTTCTCCTTCCGTGGTTCACCTGGGGGTCCCCCTGTCGGTGGGGCTTCAGCTCCAGGATGCTCCCCCAGGACAGGAAGTGAAAGGATCAGTGTTCCTGAGAAACCCATACAAAATTCATGTCTCCTGCTCCCCAAAGGTGGACTTCCTCCTCACCTCGGAAAAAGACTTCATTCTCCTCAGTCTCCAGGTAGCTGGGTGCCACTCTTCCTGCTGTTCTTGGCGCCTCCCACCCTGTCTCCTCTGTCTTCTGTACATGTCTGCTCGCTGGCCTTCCCTGTTTCTCTCAGCCTCTGGCTTTCTCCTGCTCTCTCTCTGACCTGCTCCCTTTGCCTCCCCCTCTCCTGACAGATACTCCCCCAAAATGCTGAGAATTGTGGCCTCAAAAGCCTCCTTGGAGGCCCCCAGGTTCAGCTGGTGGCCCAGTCACCATGGCTGAAAAGCTCTCTGTCCAAAGACGTGGACACTCAGGGCATCAACCTGCTCTTTTCCTCTCGCCGGGGGCACCTTTTCCTGCAGACCGACCAGCCCATTTATAACCCTGGCCAGCGGGGTGAGTCTCAGCCCTTTACTCCCTCCAGTCCCCTACCTGAAGTAACCTGAAAGTGCCGCAGGCAGGCTGCCTGGCGAGCGCCTGTCCCCCCTTCCCGCCACCCCACTCATGCGCATTGCTGCTCACCTCTCAACACTCCACTCCCAGTTCGGTACCGGGTCTTTGCTCTGGATCAAAAGATGCGCCCGTCCGTAGACAGCCTCACAGTCACCGTGGAGGTGAGTCCCGGACCTCTGACCTCCCTGATCAGCTAGCGCTGCTGATCTGACCTCCTACCCATGACCTCTTTCCCTCCCATCACAGAACTCTCAAGGCCTCCGTGTGCGGAAGAAGCAGGTGTTTGTGCCCACGTCCATCTTCCAGGATGACTTTGTGATCCCGGACATCTCAGAGTGAGCTCCCTCTGCTATACCACCCCAGTTTCCAGTGCCCTGCCCTCCACTCCAACACACAGCGTCAGACCGAGCTCCTAGCCTCCAGTGTGCCCCACAGCCCTGTCCCAGGGAGCTGGCGCTGGCTCTCCCAGGGCCTCTTGCACAAGTGGGCTGAGTCCCTTGTCTGTCCTCAGGCCGGGGACTTGGAAGATCTCAGCCAGATTCTCAGACGGCCCAGAATCCAACAGCAGCACCCAGTTTGAGGTGAAGAAATACGGTGAGAGCTGGAGACACAAGGGCCAAGCAGCTTCTTTCCTGAAGGGATAAGGGCTGCAGGAGAGGGGTGGAAGCAGGGTGGGGAAGGGAGACAGGGGAGCCGCTGCCCTGAGGGGTGGCAGTCTCTAAAGGGCACTTCCACAGAGTCTGACTTGCCTTCCCCCTTGTCCTGGTTCAGTCCTTCCCAATTTTGAGGTGAAGATCATCCCTGGGCAGCCCTACCTCCTGACAGCACCTGGCGTGCTTGGGGACATCCAGTTAGACATCCAGGCCAGGTAACTGCTCTCAAGGCACCTCTGCAGTATAAACTTCCCTCCATTCCCCCGGCCTTTCCCTCCCAGATCATGCCCTGATTTCCTCTTCCCAATCTCTACGGCACAGGTACATCTATGGAAAGCCAGTGCAAGGGGTGGCCTATGTGCGCTTTGCGCTCCTGGGTGAGAACGGTGACAAGACTTTCCTTCGGGGGCTGGAGAAGCAGATCAAGGTAGGAGGGAGCGTGGGGTGTGTGTAGGGGGGAGGTGAGGACCTGAGAGAGAAGAGGGGGTGGGGGAGGTGAGGAAGGTGAGAAGAGGTGGGGGTGGGGGAGGTGAGGAAGGTGAGAAGAGGTGGGGGTGGGGGAGGTGAGGAAGGTGAGGGAAAAGAGGTGGGGGTGGGGAGGTGAGGACCTGAGAGAGAAGAGGGGGTGGGGGAGGTGAGGAAGGTGAGGAGAAGAGGTGGGTGGGGGAGGTGAGGAAGGTGAGGAGAAGAGGTGGGGGTGGGGGAGGTGAGGAAGGTGAGGAGAAGAGGTGGGGGTGGGGGAGGTGAGGAAGGTGAGGAGAAGAGGTGGGGGTGGGGAGGTGAGGAAGGTGAGGAGAAGAGGTGGGGGTGGGGAGGTGAGGAGAAGAGGTGGGTGGGGGGTGAGGAAGGTGAGGAGAAGAGGTGGGGGTGGGGAGGTGAGGAGAAGAGGTGGGGGTGGGGAGGTGAGGAAGGTGAGGAGAAGAGGTGGGGGTGGGGGAGGTGAGGAGAAGAGGTGGGGGTGGGGGAGGTGAGGAAGGTGAGGAGAAGAGGTGGGGGTGGGGAGGTGAGGAGAAGAGGTGGGGGTGGGGAGGTGAGGAGAAGAGGTGGGGGTGGGGAGGTGAGGAGAAGAGGTGGGGGTGGGGAGGTGAGGAGAAGAGGTGGGGGTGGGGAGGTGAGGAAGGTGAGGAGAAGAGGTGGGGGTGGGGGAGGTGAGGAAGGTGAGGGAAAAGAGGTGGGTGGGGGGTGAGGAGAAGAGGTGGGGGTGGGGAGGTGAGGAAGGTGAGGAGAAGAGGTGGGGGTGGGGAGGTGAGGTGGGGGTGGGGAGGTGAGGAAGGTGAGGAGAAGAGGTGGGGGTGGGGAGGTGAGGAAGGTGAGGAGAAGAGGGTTGTAGGAGACTCAGGCCTCACCTAGGTGCTGTTTCCTCTTTCCCAGCTGGTGGAGGGCCAGTGCCAGGTCTCCCTCTCCAAGGCAGAGTTTCAGGGTGCCCTGGAGAAGGTTAACGTTCCTCTGACTGACCTCCCAGGGCTGCGCCTCTATGTGGCAGCAGCCATCATTGAGTCTCCAGGTGAGTGGTGTGGCCTGACTGTGACCCCAGACTGTAGCCTCTGACCTCTGAGCTGACTGTTCTCCAGCCACAATACCAGCCCCCTCCCCCGCCTTGTTTCTCACCCTCACCTGGGACCCAAGGCCAGGAAAGGTCTGGGAGACTGCTTCTCCCAGTATGCTTCTGGGAGGTTTCTGGGGAGAAACACCTTCCCTGTCTCAGTGTATCTTTCTCGCGCACCGTTCCCCCACCCACTCCTCCAGCAGACCTGCCGCGTGCCCTGTGCCCTACCGTCCGCCTCTGTGCTGGCTCCTGTGTTGCTCAGCAAACATAGACGTGAGGGGGAGAGGCCTGGGCCCTGAGGAGCTCACTGTCCCGTGGGCAGGAAACACGGTCCGCATCCCCTCGCTCTCCTGCCCCTCTCCCTGGCCTCCCTCCACCCCTCTCTGCCCCATGTCTTGCAGGGGGAGAAATGGAGGAGGCAGAGCTCACATCCTGGCGTTTTGTGTCATCTCCCTTCTCCTTGGACCTTGGCCACACCAAGCGACACCTCGTGCCTGGGGCTTCCTTTCTGCTGCAGGTTCCTTCTGAAGAGGGGGGGCATGTGGGGAGGGTGTTCAGCAGGAGAGCCCAGGGCCTCTCTCTGACCTGCCTGCCCCTCCCCACCCACCTAGGCCCTGGTCCGAGACATGTCAGGCTCCCCAGCCTCTGGCATTCCTGTCAAAGTCTCTGCCACATTCTCTCCTGGAGCTGCTTCTGAAACACGTGACTCCCAGGGACACACAGATGGGAGCGGCCAAGTCATTATCCCCTTCGCTGTCCCTCAGACCACCTCAGAAGTACAGTTCTCGGTAGGACTCCACACATGGGAGCGCGTGGGGAGGGAAAGAAGGGCTGGGCTTGGGGCAAAGCTGAGTGCCTGGGGCCCTGCCACCCACCCTGCTGCCCTGCCCCACCCTTGTCCAGTTGTCTGCAGGCTCCCCTCATCCAGCCACAGCCAAGCTCACCGTGAGAGCCCCCACCTCAGGAAGCTCTGGGTTTCTGTCCATTGAACGGCTGGACACTAAACCCCCTCGGATTGGGGACACTCTCAGCCTGAACCTGCAAGCCGTGGGCATCAGCGGGGCCAGCTTCTCTCACTACTACTACATGGTACGCTGGCCCCTCTCCGCGCCACCGCGAGGTGCGCCGGCCTGGGCTGGCAGATGCAGGGTGCAGGGAGGGGCGCAGGCAGCAAGGAGCCCTTAGGTGGGGAGTGCTTTCAGGGCTGGGATGTGAGTGAAGAGGAAACCACTCTGGCCCCAGGTCTTGTCCCGGGGCCAGATCATGTCTGTGAGCCGAGAGCCCAGGAGGGCCCTGACCTCCGTCTCCGTGCATGTGGACTACCGCCTGGCGCCCTCCTTCTACTTTGTGGCCTTCTACTATCACAGGGGCCTCCCCGTGGCCAACTCCCTGCGAGTGGACGTCCAGGCGGGGGCCTGTGAGGGCAAGGTAACCGTCGGGAGGGGTGGGGTGGGCTAAGGAAAGGAGAAGAGAAGCTCTCCCCACGCTGACTGCCCCGCCTCCCGCCTCTGCCAGCTGGAGCTGAATGTGGACAGTCACAAGGACTATCGTCCGGGGGAAACTGTGAAGCTCCAGCTGCGCACAGATTCTTCAGCCCTGGTGGCCCTGGGAGCTGTGGACACCGCTCTGTATGCTGTGGGTGGCAGGTCCCACAAGCCCCTGGACATGGGCAAGGTTTGTAAGACCCTCTCCCTGGCCTCCCTCCTCCTGGTCTGTGGCTCCTTCTCCTGCTGCCCTGCGCCCGGGGCCCGGGGCCCAGCCCCTGGCCCTCACTCAGGCCGCCCGCCGGCTCCTGCCAGCCTTCCCTCAAGCTGCGGTCTGTTTCCCACTGTGTCTCATGTGTGTCCACCCTGCCCTCACCAGTCAGTCCTGCCCTCAGCCACTCCTGTCTCTGCAACGGCCCTGCCTTTTCTTGCCAGGTCTTCGAAGTCATGAACAGCTATGACCTTGGCTGTGGTCCGGGGGGCGGGGACAGTGCCTTGCAGGTGTTTGAGGCAGCTGGTCTGGCCTTTTCTGATGGACACCAATGGACCTCAGTCAGAAAGAGTGAGACCAGAGGAGGAAGTGGGGTGGGTGGTGGAAGGGTAAGGGAGGAGGAGCGGCCTGAGGGTAAGATAGGAGCCTGGGAAGGGGAGCAGGGAGGGGAGGTGGGAGCCACACCCCAGGCTTGGCTACAGTCCTGCTCTCTACCAGGTCTGAGCTGTCCCAAGGAGAAGAAAACCCGGAAAAAGAGAAATGTGAACTTCCAGAAGGCAGTTAATGAGAAGTGTGAGTTGTAGGTGCCGATGAAGCTCTCACAGGGACCACGGGTCAGGAGAAAGGGTCTGCCTCTCGGAAGCAGTGTGTGGTACTCAGGCCAGAGATCCAAGTCCTGGGGTTGGCGGAGGGGGCAGGAGGCTCTCCACTGGCCTCTCTGGAGTTCCTGGTTTCTCGGGGGGAGCCCTGTGTGTCCTGAGCTCACCCTCAGTGGCCCTGCAGTGGGCCAGTATACCTCCCCAGCAGCCAAGCGTTGCTGCCAGGATGGGCTGACACGGTTGCCCATGACGCGCTCCTGTGAGCAGCGAGCGGCCCGTGTGCAGCAGCTGGCCTGCCGGGAGCCCTTCCTGTCCTGCTGCCGGTTTGCTGAGGGCCTGCGCAAGAAGACCCGGGCCAGGGGCCAGGTGGGCCTCGCCCGAGGTGAGCCTGGGTGGGGCTGTGGAACAGGCAGGGGAACCTGGGAGGGCACAGCCGCCCCTCACCCCCCTGCACTGTGGTCCCCAGCCCTGGAGATCCTGCAGGAGGAGGACCTGATGGATGAAGACGACATTCCTGTGCGCAGCTTCTTCCCGGAGAACTGGCTCTGGAGCGTGCAGCTCGTGGACCGCTTCCTCCAGTGAGGGCGTGTGGGCCGGTCTGCGGGCGGGCGGGGCGTGCGTGCTCGAGGCCCCGCCTGTGATGTCCCCTCACCTTTCCCGCCACAGGGTGCCGCAGGTGCTGCCCGACTCTCTGACCACGTGGGAGCTCCATGGTGTGAGCCTGTCCAAAGCAACAGGTGGGGCTGCCCTGCCCGGCCGCCTCCCTTCTCCCCTCCACTCAGTTCTTTTCTCTGAGTGCGAGGGAGGGGTGCAGAAGGAAGGGACCTCTGTGCTGCCTGCTCCGGGGCTGGGAGGCTAGACAGCAGGCAGAGAAGGGTCCCCCGCCCCTCCCTCGTGAGGGCCCCCAGGCGTCTGAACTGATCCTGCCCCCCCAGGCCTATGTGTGGCCACACCCGTCCGGCTTCGAGTGTTCCGGGAGTTCCACCTGCACCTCCGCCTGCCCGTCTCTGTTCGCCGCTTTGAGCAGCTGGAGCTGCGGCCCGTCCTCTACAACTACCTGGACAAAGATCTGATGGTGGGCCTGCAGGAGCCTGTGTGCCCAGGGGTGGGTGGGAGCCCGGGCGGGTGCGGGACCAGGGCTCTGGCCATGCCCATCTTCCTGCCCCCAGATGAGCGTCCACGTGTCCCCGGTGGACGGGCTGTGCCTGGCTGGGGGCGGAGGACTGGCCCAGCAGGTGCTGGTGCCCGCACGCTCTGCCCGGCCTGTTGGCTTCTCTGTGGTGCCCACGGCGGCGGCGGCCGTGTCCCTGAAGGTGGTGGCTCGAGGGTCCGTGGAGTTCCCTGTAGGGGATGCAGTGTCCAAGATTCTAAAGATTGAGGTGAGTGGAGCACTCCTGAAGCCAGATCCCCAGGCTCCCAGATTTACCCCCTCACCCCCTGCACCCCCTCTGCTGGCCAGGCCAGAGGCCCAGTACCTCAACCCAACTCCTTGGTCAGTTTATGTCTTCTGCATTTCTGATCTAACTCTGTTTCTGGAGTTCAAACTCGAGTCCTGGGGACTGGGAGGGGCAGCTGCAGTCCCGGGGTGGTGACTCAGACTCTGTTTCCCCGAGACAGAAGGAAGGGGCCATCCACATGGAGGAGATGGTCTATGAACTCAACCCGCTGGGTGAGTGACCCCCGGCCCCGTGCCATCGGTGTCCTAAGGGGGTCGTAGGTGGAGGGAGATGTGGACATCAGGACAGACTAACAACTTACCCCATCTCCCCCAGACTACCGTGGCCGGACCTTGGAAATTCCTGGCAACTCTGACCCCAATATGATCCCCGATGGAGGCGGCAGCAGCTATGTCAGGGTTACAGGTGGGAGTGTCCTCCCGTCCCTCCCAGCAGCCACCCTCAGGTTCACATGGAACCTGTTTGATCCCATGACCCCATGACCCTCTGACCCAGGGTGCCCAAACCTGCTCTCTATCCTTAACCCTCTCCTTCCCCTATAGCCTCAGATCCACTGGACACTTTGGGCTCTGGGGGGGCCTTGTCACCAGGAGGCGTGGCCTCCCTCCTGAAGCTTCCGTCTGGCTGCGGGGAGCAAACCATGGTCCTTCTGGCCCCGACACTGGCTGCTTCCCAGTACCTGGACAGGACGGAGCAGTGGGGCAAGCTGCCCCCAGAGACCAAGGACCACGCTGTGGATCTGATCCAGAAAGGTCTGCACGCAGGGCGAGCAGGGGTGGGGAAGGGTCCCTGATGGAAATGGGGTGCGTGGTGTTGGGCACACGTAGCAACAACTTTCCTCTCCAAGGCTACATGCGGATCCAGCAGTTTCGGAAGACAGATGGTTCCTATGGGGCGTGGCTGCATCGGGACAGCAGCACCTGGTGAGGCTGGGGGAGAGGTGCTGGGCTCCGAGAGGTGCAAGGGCTGCGGGGCCAGGGCCAGTACAGCGGGAGGGCAACGAGCCAGGTGTCTGGGAGCGGGCCTGTGCTGCCTACGGCACCGTCCCTAACCCCAGCCGCCACTCCCCCTCTAGGCTCACAGCCTTCGTGTTGAAGGTACTGAGTTTGGCCCAAGAACAGGTGGGCGACTCACCTGAAAAGCTGCAGGAGACAGCCAGGTGGCTGCTGTCCCAGCAGCAGGCCGACGGTTCATTCCAGGACCCCTCTCCGGTTCTCCACAGGGCCATGCAGGTGTGTGGCCAGGGGGCTGGGCCGAGCACGGGGGGGGGGGGGGGGGGGGGGGGGGGGGCTCTGCTGCCCCTCCCCTTCCTGGCTGACGCCTTCTTTCCTCCCTGCACCAACCAGGGGGGCTTGGTAGGAAATGATGAGACTGTGGCCCTGACAGCCTTTGTGGTCATCGCCCTTCAGCACGGGCTGGCCGTCTTCCAGGACAACGCAGAGCTGAAGCAGAAAGTGGTGAGGGCACCACGGGTTTCCCCTTTGCGGACCCCCCCCATCGTGCCTCAGGACCCCAGGGGTCCGGCCCACAGACCCTCCTCCCCACTTTCTTCTAGGAAACTTCCATCTCAAATGCAAACTCATTTTTGGGGACGAAAGCAAGTGCTGGGCTCCTGGGTGCCCACGCAGCTGCCATCACAGCCTACGCGCTGACGCTGACCAAGGCCCCTGAGGACCTGCGGGACGTGGCCCACAACAACCTCATGGCCATGGCCCAGGAGGCCGGCGGTGAGGGTCCCGGGTCTCGGGATTGACCCTGTGATTTGGGGGACCTTGGGACCTCTGAGTGTGCCCAAAGGGAAATATTGAACCCAGACCCCGAGAAGGAGTGAAAGTCTCTGCAGGGACAGCCAGGGCAGAGTCAAGAGAGCCTGACAGCCAGGCTCCTCCCTGTTCACCGCTGGGACCCCTTCCCTTCCAGATCACCTGTACTGGGGCTCGGTCATCAGCTCTCAGAGCAACGTCGTGTCGCCCACCCCTGCTCCCCGCAGCCCGGCAGACCCCGTGCCCCAGGCCCCAGCCCTGTGGATTGAGACCACAGCCTACGGCCTGCTGCACCTGCTGCTCCGGGAGGGCAAGGCTGAGATGGCTGACCAGGTGGCAGCCTGGCTCACCCGCCAGAGCAGCTTCCAAGGCGGGTTCCGCAGCACCCAGGTAGGGCCTATGAGGCTCGGGGGGGGGGGGGGGGGTCCTGAGGCCAAGCGCCTGAGCCCTGGCCCCTCCCCCAGGACACGGTGATCGCCCTGGACGCGCTGTCTGCTTACTGGATTGCCTCCCACTCTGCTGAGACGGGGGGGCTCAACGTGACCTTCAGCTCTGTGGGCCGCAACGGGCTCAAGTCCCACGTGCTGCAGCTGAGCCACCAGCAGAGTCAGGGGCTGGAGGAGGAGCTGCAGGTGAGCCGCCGCCCCTGGTTCATGACACCCGGGCCTAGTCTGCGGGGCCTGCGGCACCCCTAGCACTCCTCTTGGTGCCCTTGCGCAAAGACCTCCTGGCTGGGGATCTGGGCTCGATGTCTGAGCTTCGTTCTCTGCATTTGGAAATGACGTATGCAGAGCCTACCCAACAGGGCTTTAGGAGGCTGGCGTAAAACACTGTGCATAGAGGTGTGAACTGGAAACGTGAGGGGGGAGAGGAGGAGGCTTGTTTCAGGGAGAAGTCAGGACAACATACAGCGAGCCCTTCTGTGCCCTCTGATGTCTCTTTCCCTTTTCGACTCCTGAAGTTTTCCCTGGGCAGCAAGATCAATGTGAAGGTGGGAGGAAACAGCAGAGGGACCTTGAAGGTGAGAGCCCACAGCACCGGACACCTGGGCGTGGGCGGAGCGGCCCTGAGCTGGAGAGCGGTGGCAGAGCTGTGTGGTGGGAGTGGGCCTTGAGCTGGAGAGCGGTGGCAGAGCTGTGTGGTGGGAGCGGGGCCCGGGCTGGAGAGCGGTGGCAGAGCTGTGTGGTGGGAGCGGGCCCTGGGCTGGAGAGCGGTGGCAGAGCTGTGTGGTGGGAGCGGGGCCCGGGCTGGAGAGCGGTGGCAGAGCTGTGTGGTGGGAGCGGGCCCCGGGCTGGAGAGCGGTGGCAGAGCTGTGTGGTGGGAGCGGGGCCCGGGCTGGAGAGCGGTGGCAGAGCTGTGTGGTGGGAGCGGGCCCGGGCTGGAGAGCGGTGGCAGAGCTGTGTGGTGGGAGCGGGCCCGGGCTGGAGAGCGGTGGCAGAGCTGTGTGGTGGGAGCGGGGTCCCGGGCTGGAGAGCGGTGGCAGAGCTGTGTGGTGGGAGCGGGCCCGGGCTGGAGAGCGGTGGCAGAGCTGTGTGGTGGGAGCAGGGCCCGGGCTGGAGAGCGGTGGCAGAGCTGTGTGGTGGGCGCGGGCCCGGGCTGGAGAGCGGTGGCAGAGCTGTGTGGTGGGAGCGGGCCCGGGCTGGAGAGCGGTGGCAGAGCTGTGTGGTGGGAGCGGCCCGGGCTGGAGAGCGGTGGCAGAGCTGTGTGGTGGGAGCGGGCCCTGAGCTGGAGAGCGGTGGCAGAGCTGTGTGGTGGGAGCGGGGCCCTGAGCTGGAGAGCGGTGGCAGAGCTGTGTGGTGGGAGTGGGCCCTGAGCTGGAGAGCGGTGGCAGAGCTGTGTGGTGGGAGTGGGCCCTGGGCTGGAGAGCGGTGGCAGAGCTGTGTGGTGGGAGTGGGCCCTGAGCTGGAGAGCGGTGGCAGAGCTGTGTGGTGGGAGCGGGTCCGGGCTGGAGAGCGGTGGCAGAGCTGTGTGGTGGGAGCGGCCCGGGCTGGAGAGCGGTGGCAGAGCTGTGTGGTGGGAGCGGGCCCGGGTGAGAGAGCGGTGGCCCAGAGCTGTGTTGGTGGGAGCGGGGCCCCCGGGCTGGAGAGCGGTGCAGAGCTGTGGGTGGGAGCGGGCCCCGGGCTGGAGAGCGGTGGCAGAGCTGTGTGGTGGGAGCGGGGGTCACGGGCTGGAGAGCGGTGGCAGAGCTGTGTGGTGGGAGGGGGCCCTGAGATGGAGAGCGGTGGCAGAGCTGTGTGGTCGGGAGCGGGCCCCGGGCTGGAGAGCGGTGGCAGAGCTGTGTGGTGGGAGCGGGCCCCGGGCTGGAGAGCGGTGGCAGAGCTGTGTGGTGGGAGCGGGGTCCCGGGCTGGAGAGCGGTGGCAGAGCTGTGTGGTGGGAGCGGGCCCTGAGCTGGAGAGCGGTGGCAGAGCTGTGTGGTGGGAGCGGGGTCCCGGGCTGGAGAGCGGTGGCAGAGCTGTGTGGTGGGAGCGGGGTCCCGGGCTGGAGAGCGGTGGCAGAGCTGTGTGGTGGGAGCGGGGTCCCGGGCTGGAGAGCGGTGGCAGAGCTGTGTGGTGGGAGCGGGGCCCGGGCTGGCATTGCGCGCTCCATCCCGGGTGCCCCCCACTCTGGTCTCCCCCTCCCTGGGCACCTGTCACCTCCTTTCCCTCAGCACTGAGCTCACACTCCCAGTGCCCCAGCTGGGCCTTTCCTGAGCCACGGCCCCTCTTCCTCCTTTGTCCCCTTGTCTGCCTGACAGAGCCCCGCCCCCCCAGCAGCCCAGCTGCCCTCTGGAGGCTCCCCAGTGCCCCTCCCTCCCGAGCCCGGCTGTGGCCCCGGGAACTGCCTCTCTGCCCTCTAGTGCCGAGGGTCCTTGTCACTTGTTCACTGAACTCGGGCTGAGACAGTCTTGGGACGTCTCCCACGCCCATGTCTCCCTGCTCTGAGCCCCTGTCACCGCACAGTGAAACTGACCTTCCAGGACACTGGTCAGACAAGCCTTCGGACTCTTCGCTGGCGAGGCAGGGTGCTTGCCTACATAGGTCTCCTCACCTTGAATGTCCTCCCTCTGCCGCTTTTCCCACGAGGCAAACTCCTCCCCCTTCAAGCCTTGGCCAGAAGCCTTTCCCGACTGCCCCTCACAGCCTCCCTGCACGTGTGGGGGCTGGTCCCCAGGGCAGGCGCTGCTGCTGCCTCACCGTCCACCCCAACTCCAGGCCGTTCGTGCTTATGGACTGGTCAGGAAGGACGACGGGAAGGGGCCCAAGGCCTCAAAGCTCTCAGCCCAGGGAGCTCCCCTGGGTGTGTCTCTGGAGAGGTGTCTGTGGCCCCAGAGGTCCCACGTTCTCTCCATGCCCCTTGCTGAGCCAGGTCCTTCGTACCTACAACGTCCTGGACATGAAGAACACGACCTGCCAGGATCTTCAGATTGAGGTGACAGTCATGGGCCATGTCGAGTACACAAGTAAGTGTTGGGGTTGGTGCCACGGGCCCTCCAGGGCTGGTGCCAGGGGCCGAGTCTCAGCGCCTCCCTCGTGCAGTGGAGGCGAACGAGGACTACAAGGACTACGAGGACGAGGAGGACTATGGGAAGGAAGAGGACTCCGAGAGTCCAGGTCTCCCTGGGGATGACCCAGGGGCCCCTTCCCAGCCCGTGACACCCCTGCAGCTGTTTGAGGGGCGGAGGAGCCGCCGCCGAAGGGAGGCGCCCAAGGCGGCTGAGGAGCAGGAGCCCCGAGTGCAGTACACTGTGTGCATCTGGTGAGCCTGAGGGGCCGCTCGCCGGGCGGGGCAGCCGCGGGCGCAGGCACGCAGACCACAGGACTCTCTCCGCAGGCGGAACAGCAGTCTGGGGCTGTCGGGCATGGCCATCGCGGACATCACCCTCCTGAGTGGATTCCACGCCCTGCGGGCTGACCTGGAGAAGGTGTGGCTCGTGTCCTCGGGAGCCCTGTTCCGTCCCTGCAGCCCTCCAGGCACCGAGCCCGTCTCCGTGACCCTCTCCTTCTTCGCAGTTGACTTCCCTGTCTGACCGTTATGTGAGTCACTTTGAGACCGAGGGGCCCCACGTCCTGCTGTACTTCGACTCGGTGAGCAGGGGAGGCCACGGGGGGTGGGAGGGGGTGGGGGGGGGCGCGCGCGGGTGACAGTTTGTGCTGAGTCCCAGGAGGTGCTGCCTCCGTGGCCAGCGCCCCCGGGAGAGCCTGATGTGAGGGGGGAGGCAGGTCAAGAAGGAGCCGGGGCCAAGTTATGGGGTGCGGTGGGTGGAGCCTGGGAGGCCACGCCTGCAGGCCGGCAGGAGCTGAGCCCTAAGGAGGTTTGGGGGGCACAGCTGAGAGGGCGCCTGTCACAGGCTGAATGTATTCCACTGAAAGGTTTGCTTTTGTTCTTTATATTGACCTTCCCAGTTTTATTTTAATATGAAAGAGTATCTTCTGTTATAAAGTGATGTTGGTCATAGATGAGTTGTTTTTGTCTTTGTGGCCTGTTTGGCTAAAACAAAGAGTCATCAACCCTCTGATGGCCCTCAGAGTTTCTGGAGCGTTTACTATGACCTCTTAGAGAAAATGCAAAAGGCACGTTCATACAGAAACACCCATTAGCCAGGCGTGTGAGTCAGGGAAGACCCTCCCCGGTCTGTGCAGAGGGGCAGACCCTGTCGGGGGCTACAGGGCAGTCAGGTTAAACAGTGGGAAAGAGGGGCCAGCTGCGGAGGGGTGCTGGCAGGTCTGGTGGCACCGCACGGTGTGGGCATGAGGAGGGGTGCTGGGCCCGCGGGTGCATGGCAGGGTCCCAGGGACTAGCAGCTGCACTTAGGCTGTGGCAGGTGAAGGAGGCCCTCGTCGTGTCTGTGATGAAGCCAGGCTGTCAGGAGGGTGAGTGGGTTTGGGAGCAGGCAGAGTGAATTTGGAGAATTTATGCATCCTGCAAAAATCCTAATGCAGGAATAAGGCTGAAAGTTTTGTGTGGGAAGCAGCCTGGAAGGGGTTGGTGAAAGCCAGGGAGGGGTAGAGACCTTTGTAGGGAAGAGCTGGGGCCCTGGGAGGGAAGATGAGGGGGTGTCAGAAACAACCAGGTGAGAAGCGAAAATGGTCCAGAAACTAGCCCGAGCTTAGGGAGAGTTGCGTGGAGAATGTGTCCGCAGTGTGAGACTCTGCAGAGGCACTTGGAGACCAGAGACCCGGGTGAGGTCATCATCTGGGCAGTGAGGTCAGCAGGGACCTTGGGAGCAGCTCTTAGAGTTCTGGTGGCCGGAAGGTAACAGAATGTGAAGGACACTGAAGATGAGACCAGCAGACGCCAGAGCCAGGCCGAGGAAATGTGACACAGGCCCGCAGGGCCCAGGGAGTGGTCCTTGACACCCCCCCTTGACCCCCCCCCAACGGCAGGTCCCCACCTCTCGAGAGTGCGTGGGCTTCGGAGCCGTGCAGGAGGTGGCGGTGGGGCTGGTGCAGCCAGCCAGCGCGGTCCTGTACGACTACTACAACCCCGGTGAGCCTGCGGGGCGGGGGCGCCAGGGGCTGGTGGCCGAGGGCGGCGCCCCTGACTCTCCTCTCCTCTCTCCTCAGAGCATAAGTGCTCTGTGTTTTACGGAGCACCGACCAAGAGCAAACTGTTGTCCACACTGTGCTCTGCTGACGTCTGCCAGTGTGCCGAGGGTGAGCCGGGGCCTGGGGTGGGCGGGCGGGGCGGGCGGGGCTGCCGGGGCGCCGGCTCACCTGGGCCCTGGCTTTAGGGAAGTGCCCTCGGCAGCGGCGCGCCTTGGAGCGGGGGCTGGTGGAGGACGATGGCTACAGGATGAAGTTCGCCTGCTACTACCCCCGTGTGGACTATGGTCAGTGTTCCGCTGGGCCTCTTCCGGCCCTGCGCTCGGGTCTCGGGTCTCGCCTGCCGCGATGGCCCGTGGATGGCCTGGGCAGCTCACCTTCTCCTTCCTCTCCTTCCCTAAACACTCACGCAGGCTTCCAGGTGAAGGTTCTCCGAGAAGATTCCAGAGCTGCTTTCCGCCTCTTTGAGACCAGCATCAGCAGAGTCCTGCACTTCAGTACGAGGGGCCGGCGGGCCGGCAGGCGGGGGGGAGGGGGGCTGAGGGTTTGGGGCCCGGCTACCTGGGGATAAAAACTCAGAAGAGTCTGAGCTGAGATCGCCCCAGCTCTTAGACGCTCTGGGCTGGTCAGTGGAAGCAGGGCCTGCGGGCGGGTCCAGGGGACCCCTGTCTGCTGAGCCCCTGGCCCTGTGCTGGCCCTGCCCCTCCTTCCCCCACTGATGGCTCTTGTTCCTGCCCCTCAGCCAAGGACACCCAGGCCACTGCTGGTCAGACCCGAAACTTTTTGGTTCGAGCTTCTTGCCGCCTTCACTTGGAACCTGGGAAAGAGTATTTGATCATGGGTCTGGACGGGGCCACCCATGACCTCAAGGGACAGTGAGTTCTCTGGGCCCCTGGGTCTCCTGCTGGTGTCACAGCTCGTGAGGGACCGGGTCCCAGTGCCTAGGCCCTACTCCCTCAGAAGCCAGGGGTCTTGTGCTCTCCTGTCCGGTGTACCCTTCCTCCTGACCCCTGCTGCCTGCCCTTTGCTCCCACAGACCCCAATACCTGCTGGACTCCAACAGCTGGGTTGAGGAGATGCCCTCTGAGCGCTTGTGCCGGAGCACCCGCCAGCGGGCAGCCTGTGCCCAGCTCCGCAGCTTCCTGCAGGAGTACAGCCTCCAGGGGTGCCAGGTGTGAGGCTGCTCTCCCCCCAGGCTGGCCCCTGGCGGGCCAGGGCTCAATAAAGACCTTTGACAGCCAAGTGTCCGCGTGTGTCTCCAGAGCTGAGAGCAGTGTCCCCTCCCCGGTGCGGGGGTGGGACAGCCCAGGGTTTGCATAATCCTAGGCTCTTGGAGCTTGGGTGACCCCTGGATCCCTCACCCCTCCCAGATGACTCACTGGGAGCTCAGTCCATCATAGGACCTCCTGAGCAGACTTGTGATCCAACGGCCCGCACCTTGGGGACCCAGCACCCTCATCCAGGCCTGCCCTCGCCATGCCTGCAGGGCGCTCGGTGCCGTGCGGACGCTGCCAGGCTGGGCCCACAGGGCCTGTGCCTCAGGAGCGGCGTCCGGCCCACGTCTCCGTTCTGTCTGGCACAGTCGGCAGTTCTGGGGCTGTTGGCTAAGGCCTGGTCTGTTGAAATCTTGTTGACACTTGACCTCGTTATCAGTGGCGTTAGGAAACATTCCCAGAGTTGCATAATCCCCAGATCTGATGCTCTCTTCTTCCAGGGACTGATTTAATTTATTTTTTTAGCCTCACCCGAGGACATTTTTCCATATTTTGTTCAGATAGAGCAGGAGAGAGAGAGGAAGAGAGAGAGAGAGAAACATCAACATGAAAGGGACACATCGAGTGGTTGCCACCCGCACGACCCATCCAGGGCCGGGGACAAACTACAACCGGGGTACATGCCCTTAGTGGGAACGGAACCCGGGTCTCTCTGGACCACAGGCCAATGCTCTAACCACGGAGCCAAACCGGCCAGGGCAGGGGACTGATTTTAAACAAGCCAAGTGGCTGCCTTTGGTGTGTGTCAACACTCAGGGGACTGCTCTCTTGAGGTCAACCCCCCACCTGCCGACCTAGCTTTCCGCCCTGTGGTGGCACCGCTTGGGTCCTTAGGGCTGACCTAGAACCCATCAGAGAAATTGCTGAGAGCCCAGCAGCCTGCCATTCGCTCTGCAGACACCATGGATCTCACTCTGCCCTCCGTGCCAAGCCCTGTCCTCAGAGGAGTGACTGGGTAGCTGTGTGGTCCCGTGGGGCACATGGGGCATCGGACCTAGCCTGGGGGGATGGGAGAAGGGGGCAGGCAAGGCTTCCTGGAGGAGGTGACATCTGAGGTTCTGAAGGCTGAGGATGTAGGAAAGAGAGTGGCTAGATGAGGGATTTTAGGCAGGAGAAAGTATGAAAGGCATGAGGCCAGGGCGGGACAAGGATGTTTGTGGGCCCTGCATGTGACTCATCAGGTTGGAGTTTGATTTGGAGGGTTGTTTGTGAAAGAGATGGGGCTGGAGTCTGTGAAGCTGGCCAGCTTTCCAGGTCCCTCCTTTCGAATGGGGCCCCTGCTGTCCGTGCAACTCGAAGAGGTTCCGACCCCCAGTGCTTCAGAGGCTTCCTCGGGCTGTGGTCACACGGCCCTGTGCCTACCCGGCAGCCTGCTTCCCAAAGCCAGTCACATTTATGTGAGCCAAGGACTCAGCGACAGCTGGGGCTGGGTCTGAGCAAGGCAGCAGCCCAACCCCGGAAACTGGTTCTCTCCCGGCCCTGGGCACCGATCCAGGCAGAGCCTGCACCCTCCCACCAGGACCCACAGTGGGCTCCAAGCTAATGGGTGGGGCGACTGGGACCTCAACTCAGTCTCTGCAGTGGCACAGCCTGTGCTCTGGGTGCAGCTCTGAGGGAACGACCTTCTAGCCCTGGTGCTGGGTCAGTTCCCAGAGCCAGCAGTGAGAAGTCAGGGGATGGCCTGGGCCTCAGGTCACTCCAAGCCCTTAGCCCCCAGGAGGCCCTAACCTCACTGAGCCATCCCCCTCCTCTTTGGCGGTCTCTCCCCCAACCTTCCTCTAAGCCCCTCAACTGCCACCTACCTCACCCATAAAATTGGTCCATGATAATCCTACTTGGTTCAATGGGACCCCTCCTCTTATGGCTACAGCTCTCGGGATAGGGCTGGACCCCTGACCCCAGCTGTGGCTATTGAACTCCTTCTTGGGGACTTTGGAATCATGGGGGCCATGCTGAGTTGTGCTGGGAAGCCCCACTTACCCTTGGGCTGGAGCTGTGTCCTGTGACTCTGACCCCAGAGGCAGCCTGTTCTGCGCACTGAGCACCTGCGGGACAGGAGGGATGAGAGCACACGGGTGGCCCAGGGCCTCCACACGAGCTCTCGGGTTCGAGATGCCCCTGGTACTCATGTAATAGTTCTTATTTTTGGTTTAAGTCCTTCAAATTGGTCTCTTTTCCTTGCAACCAGAAAGTATCTGGTAAGAGCTCCAAATTGGGAACCGTATTCATCTTCAACTCTTGAGAGTGAAATAGGGCACTGATAATTGTTACAGAGGACTACAGGTGTGGTGTAGGAAAATCCAGGCACACCCAGCCACGTGGACACCCCTGCGCTCAGTCTCAGACGATCCTGGGGCACGTGAGGGGTGCCTGCCACTTTCCCTTGGAGACAAGTGGCAGCAGTAAGCCGCTCCGTCGGGGCGGCAGTGGGAGAGGGCTCCGGCCAGAACGTGGACACTTTCCTGCAGGCTGGTGTGGGGCCGCAGAGCTGAGGCTGGCCGTGGGAGAAAGGTCAGGGTTGTGCACGTCTTCCTTTCTTCTTGATGGATGAAAGAAGAAAGAAAGGCCCGTTCTTTGAAATATGGACTCCCCAAGGCCAACGGGCCTGGTGCCATTCCAAGAGTGTGCTACTCTGTGGGTGGGACAGTGGGCAGGGGCCTGGGGGAAGTAGCCAAGGGAAGGACCTAGAACAGCCTGCGCAGGGAGATGGATGGTGGGCCTCCAGAGCTATAAGAGGCCAGGCCAGCGCCTTGCACGGGTCTCCAGCCATGCTGCTCCTCGGGCTGCTGCTGCTCACTGTGCTGGCCAGTGCCCACCTGCTGTGGGGCCAGTGGAAGCTCAGGGGCCTCCACCTCCCACCTCTTGTCCCTGGCTTCCTGCATCTGCTGCAGCCCAACCTCCCCATCTACCTGCTCAGCCTGGCTCAGAAACTCGGGCCCATCTACCGGCTCCGCCTAGGGCTGCAAGGTGAGCTCCTGCCCCGCCTGCCCCTCCACAGTGGGATTCGGGTGCTCCCCGCTGACATCCTGCTTTGGCGCTCCCCAGATGTGGTGGTGCTGAACTCCAAGCGGACCATTGAGGAGGCCATGGTCAAGAAGTGGGCGGACTTTGCCGGCAGACCCCACATACCATCCTGTAAGGGTGGGAAGAAGCTGGGGCTGGGAGAGGCAGGGAAGGCAAGCCATGGCTTCCTTGGTCAGTTCGCCCCTCACCCCTACTCGCAGACAAGCTGGTGTCTCGGTACAGTCAGGACCTTTCACTTGGGGACTACTCCCAGCTCTGGAAGGCCCACAAGAGACTCACCCGCTCGGCTCTGCTGCTGGGCATGCGCTCCGTGGAGCCCCTGGTGGAGCAGCTGACCCAGGAGTTCTGCGAGGTGAAGCTGGACCCCATGGTCACCCCAGGTCGGCCTCACCTCTCCCAGCGGCCCTGGCCCGTTTAGCTCGTGCTTTCTCCACAGCGCATGAGAGCCCAGGCCGGCACCCCGGTGGCCATCCAGAAGGAGTTCTCTTTGCTCACCTGCAGCGTCATCTGCTGCCTCACCTTTGGAGACCAGGTCAAGGCTCCCTCATGCTCACATATGCTTCCCCCCCCCCCCCCCGCCCCGCTCCTCATCCTGAACTGAAAGGAGTCCTTCCTCCTGCAGGAGGACACCTTAGTACACATCTTTCACGACTGTGTCCAGGACTTGATGAAAACCTGGGACCACTGGTCCATCCAAATTTTGGACATTGTTCCCTTTCTCAGGGTGAGAAGGTGGAGTCCAGACACCCTGGCTCCTCGGGGTGGGCGGGGGACAGGCTGCTTTCCCGGCAGCTACACTCTCTCGCTCCCTGCCTAGTTCTTCCCCAGCCCTGGCCTCCGGAGGCTGCAGCAGGCTGTGCAGAACAGGGACCGCCTTGTGGAGCAGCAGCTGAGACGGCACAAGGTGGGCACTGTGCGTGGACCCTGTTGCTCAGCCCACAGCCAGCCACGTGGCTGCCCCAGTCCTCGGACTGGCGCCACCCCAGACCCTCTCCGGCAGCCGGGTGCTCAGGCGGGCCCTCCCTCCCCAGGAGAGCATGGCGGCAGGCCGCTGGAGGGACCTGACGGACTACATGCTCCAGGGGCTGGGGGAGCCGCGCGTGCAGGCGGGCTCTGGACAGCTCCTTGAAGGGCACGTGCATATGTCTGTGGTGGACCTTTTCATCGGCGGCACCGAGACCACTTCAACCACCCTCTCCTGGGCTGTGGCATTCTTGCTTCACCACCCTGAGGTGCACCCTGGGGGCAGGCTCCTTCCTGGGTGTCTGTCACTCTACCCTGGTACAGGCTGTGTTAGCGGGGTGGGGAGGGTGACTTCTAATCGGCACAAAGGCTTCTGTGGGTGCTCCAGGCATGGCTGGAAGAGGGTGAGCAGCAGGGCTGGGTCCGCACTAGACTTGCCCCCATTTCCCAGGTTCAGAAGCGACTGCAGGAGGAGTTGGACCGTGAACTGGGGCCTGGGGCCTGGAGCTCCCCAGTCCCGTACAAGGACCGCACTCGACTGCCCTTGCTCAACGCCACCATCGCAGAGGTGCTGCGCCTGCGGCCGGTCGTGCCCCTGGGCCTGCCACACCGCGCCACGCGGCCCAGCAGGTGACCTCCAGGGAGGTAGGGGTGAGCGGGACAGCAGGCGGGGACCTGGCGGGCCTCTCACTCCACCCTGCCCTCAGCATCTTCGGCTACGACATCCCGGAGGGCACAGTGATCATCCCCAACCTCCAAGGCGCCCACTTGGACGAGACCACCTGGGAGCGGCCCCACGAGTTCTGGCCGGGTGCGTGTGGGCGTGTGTGGAGGGGCCGTGGGCGGGAGCAGCGCGGGCTGGTCCCTGCGGCTGCTGACCAGGTCTGTCCTTCCCCCACAGACCGCTTCCTGGCGCCAGGGGCGAGCCCCAGAGCGCTGGCGTTCGGCTGCGGGGCGCGCGTGTGCGTGGGCGAGCCGCTGGCGCGCCTGGAGCTGTTCGTGGTGCTGGCGCGCCTGCTGCGGGCCTTCACGCTGCTGCCGCCGCCGGGCGCCCTGCCCTCCCTGCAGCCCCAGCCCCGCTGCGGCGTCAACCTCGCGGTGCAGCCTTTCCAGGTGCGGCTGCAGCCCCGGGGAGCAGACGCCGGGGGCCTGGGCGAGTGCCAGTGATGGGCAGGACGCGGGCCAGTCTCGTGCCTCAGTTTCTCCTTTTATTGCTCCTGTACACCCCCACCCCCCTGTAAACATAGTGCTGTGAGGTCGCGGCGGAGAAGGCTTCCTTTGGCGGCTGGGTGGTGAAGGCGGCCGGGCTCTTCTCTCCGCGGCCCTCAGTGCTTGGCAGTCGTAGCGGGTGGGGGAGGTGGGCCGAGGCTCAGCTTTCCCAGGCGGGCGCCCGGTAGCCTCTGGGTCGCAGCTTCATTTCCGTGAAGGGCACGGAGAACTCAAAGCCCTTCCAGTGGTACCAGCTCACTCCCTGGAAAGAGGTGTGGAGAGAGAGTCAGAGCAGACATCCCCTCCCCTCCCACCCCTGCCCCTTTGGGGAGCTGGTTCCCAGAAATCAATCAACCTTCTGCCCGCCCTGCTGCCTTCATAACTCCCAACTGCAAAGGACTGAGGCTTAATGCTGAGCTGACCCTTTCCATCCAATAAACCATCTCCTCCCAACACCGTGGTGAGATGACATTACTGTCCCACTTCACAGATGAAGGCCCTGAGGGCTCAGTCACCTGTCCTGTCACATCCAGGCAGCCAAGCCCCAGCTGCGCCTGCCCCGCCCTCACCTGGTGGTCCACTGTGCTCCCGTAGAGCCCGTTGAGGTTGGCATAGTGGCAGTTCCTGTACCACCAGGCCCCGCGGTAGGAAACGGCGCAGGAGATGAGCAAGTTATTGGGGTCTCGGTCCCGGGCAGAGAAGACACTGCCGCTGTGGTAGCTCATGGAGTCCCCTGGTGGGTGGGCAAGGGAAGGAGTGAGGGCCTCCCCTGCCCCGCCCGCCCCGCCCCGGCCCAGCCCTACCTGCGGTGCCGTGGTAGCCCTCCAGGTGCAGGCGGTAGTAGTCCTCGGCAGCGTCCACCCGGAAAGAGTCGTACTGGGCGAACACCACCTCGTCCCCAGCCCGAAGGTCCACGCGCATGGAGTAGTCTCCGGCTCTCGTCAGGCTGTGCAGGGCCTCATTGCCTGGGGTGGGAACCGTGCTCGCACCAGGGCCCTGCTGTCCACAGGGCTCCTGTCCCTTCCCTGGTCCCCCCGACCCCTGTGAGGCACTGACCCAGCCAGAACTCCCCGGAGATGTTCCCAAAACCATGGGCGTAGTCCTCCCAGTCCCTCCAGAAGTCTGTGTGTCCATCCATGCGGCGCTGGAACACCTGGGAGGCAGGGGCACTGTCAGCCTGTGGCTCCTGGTGCAGCAGCCAGCCCCTGCACAGACCCCGGCTTCCGGCTGCACCCACCAGCCAGCCGCCCCCATCGGTCTCCATGTCACAAAACACGTTCAGTGGCCGCTCGCGGTTGCCGTTGAGGAAGATGGTGGTGGTCCTGGAGGTGCCAGCCCCATTCTGCATCTCCTCCCCACAGTCCCGGGGGAAGGGGATCCGCAGCCCACCTGGGGAGAGCACAGGGAGGGGTCAGTCCGTTTCCCAGACCCCTGCTGCCCACTCAGCCCCACCTCAGGCCCAGCACCCAAGCACCAGTGGTGAAGGAGGTGGACATGGGCGGCGTGAGACTCTCGCCCCACATGGCCCGGAGCCAGGCTCTGTAGGTGGTAGAGGGAAAGAGGCCCAGGAGCTGGTGAGAAGTGACACCTCCTGGGAGCAGGATCTCCTGTGGGGTAGAAAAGGGGCCGGTCAGGGGACAGGGAGGCAGAGGCAGCCCCTCCTGGAGCAGAACCCAGAGAGAGGAGTTGGCCAGTGGGGCAGGGTGGCGCACCTGGGACTGTCCACCAGGGGTGTCATAGTTGAGCAGGTAGCCAGTTGGGGGCACTTGGGGCTCTGTCCAAGTAAGCAGGGCTGTGCGGGGGGTCACTTCCTTGGCCTCGAAGTCCCAGGGGCCCCTCAACCCTGGAAGGGGAACGGGGAAGAGAAGATGGAGACGAGGCCCTTCCTTGCGGCTGCCCTCCCACCCACCACCTCACAGGAGGCACCTGTGGTAAAGGTGATGCTGGCTGCAGAGGTGAAGTTGGGGCCCCTAAGGCCACGCACGGTGGCTGTGTAGTTGGTGTGGAGTGTGAGGCCGTGCAGGGGGTAGTCCACAGCGCTGCCAGGGGCTGAGGCCTGCAGAGAGGGGGCTGGGGGGATGGCAGGGGTCAGCAGCTGCCCTGCCAGAGCCCAGCCCGCCTCAGCTCTGCTTCTCTGAACAGTCCCCTCCAGACGCCTGAGCCCTGCTCACCGCCTGGGGCTGCGACCTGGACGGCATACGTGTCCACAGGGGCCTGGGGGGGCTTCCAGTGCAGCACGGCGGTTCCTGCCGACAAGTTCAGTGCGCGCAGCTGCGTGGGGCCATCAGGAACTGGGAGAAGGGAGGCGCTCAGAGCGCACCCTGCTGCTCTCCCCAACCCCTCTTCCCAAACCCTCCAGGGCCTCTGGTCTATGATGAGACCCTCCAGCACCCCTCCCCTCCTGCCACTCAACTACCCCCACCCACTGCCTCCTGCTCCCCTTCCGGCCCAGGCCCACCCATCTCACCCGTGGTGAGGAACCCGGTGAGAGGCTCGCTCTCCTCAAAGCCTCGGACGGACACCACTGTCACCTCATAGTGGGCGCCTGGGATCAGCCCCTGGAGTTTCTGGGCCCGGGCTCGGCCGTCCACTCGCACACTCTGTGGCTCCCCTGAAAACATGGTGGGCGTGGGAGGTTGCCCAGGGAGCCAGGAGGGGCTGTAGGGTGGGCAGCATGGAGGGTGCAGGAGAAACGAGAGCAGTGAGGACATGGGCAAAGGGTGTCACCTCCATCCGCCAGCTGGTAGGAAACTTTGAAGCTGTCGACTCTGGATGGTGGGGGCATCCAGCTGACCTTGGCTGAAGTCTCCCCAATTTCACTGAATTGGAGGTCACGGGGGCTCTCCAGTACTGAGGGGAGAGGCACACCAAGTAACAACGGTGAGGGCATGGAGCAGGGGCCCTGCGCCCGATCCCACCCCTCCTCCTCCGGCCAGCTGGCTCCAGGCACCGACATGGGCGTGCTGTGCTGTGCTCACACCCTGCACCACTCTCCAGCCTCCCCTGGCTGGGGCACCGGCTCCCAGCACGGGCCTCACCTGGGCTGAGGGTGCGGGCGGTGCCCTGCACGCTGTCCGCCTTGTGGGGCCCGCGCAGCCCATACAGTGTCAGGCTGTACAGGGTCCCGGGACGCAGGTCCCGGAGCACGGCCGAGCGCTGCGACCCGGGCATGGTCACCTCCCGCTGCAGCAGGGGGCGCTGAGGCGGCCCCATGGAGCTTGCTGACGGGACCCCGTATCGAAGCAGGAAGGAGTCGAAGGCCCCAGAGGGCGCCTCCCAGTTGAGTCGCAGAGAGCTGGTGGTCACGTCAGTCACAGACAGCTGGGACAGCCGGGGCCCTGGCTCCCCTGGGGTCTGACCTGCAGGAGCTGACCCTGCACAGACAAGAGTTTGGAGACAGAAGCACACAGGCTGGGTGACCTGGGGCAGGTCTCTCGGGCACCCTACCCTGCCAGGTGCCGCAGGCCCCAGTGATCACACATGTGCGCGGAGCAGGGCTGCTTGTCCACCCTCCTTCCTCCAGGGTGCCCTCCTCACGTTCCTTCCCCATGCCCACCCTTCCTAGGACGCAGGGAGGCTAGGACACAGGCCCCGCTTGTGGTACCTGTGGTGCCCTCAGCTGAGACAGGTCCCAGGCGCTTCCCCTCATGGAGGCCGTAGAGGAAGAACTTGTAGGGGGTGCTGGGCTCCAGGCCTGACACAAGGACCTTGTTCTGGTCGCCACCCACGAGCAAGGCCTGGGGCTGCCTGTTTGTGTCCCAATACTGGACCACAAAGGAGTCAAAGGGGCCCTGGGCCACGGTCCATGAGAGGTGCAGGGAGTCTGGGGTCCTGTTATTCACTACCAGCTCCCCCAGGCGGGGCCCTGCAGGGGTCTTGGGGGCCTCTGTGGCAGGGTGCCAGAGCACGGGCGTGTCCTCTTCTGGAGCTGTGGGAGAAGCCCAGGGGAGAAGCTGTGTGTACACGCGTGTGTGCATGTGTGTGTGCACACAGCGCCCCTCCCAACTCCATTGCACTGGTCCCTGGGAGGCCGGGCTGAGGTGGGGAGTTTATTGGTCCTGGCCATGGAGGAGAAGGTGGAGAGGAGAGAGCAGCTAGGCTCCGCTAGCATATACCTTCTCTTAAATATGCCACATCCCTGTGTTGGCGGTGAGGTCTGCCACCCAGGCCTCCCTGGGAGCCAACACTGTGCCCCAGCGCTGCTCTGTGGGCCCCTCTGCTGGGTCGGGATCCCTGCTGCCACCCCGTCTCCACACCGGTGTCACCTCGCCCTGGACTCCTGGGCCACTCCCGAGCTCTGGCCCTGGTTCTCCCTCTGAGAGAACTGAGGATGGAGTGGCTGGTGGCCAGGGCACTTGCCCTGGGGGCTGGGGGCTGGGCCAGCACCTCCAGAGGAGGAGCCTGGTCCACCAGCAGCCACTTCTCCCGTCTTTCTACCCCTTGCTGTTTTGTTTTCCAGTAATTTTCCACTTGAGAAAAGGCTCCTGACTCATCCACAGGAGGGGGTTTTATCCCTGTTGGGCCGGCCACCCTGCTGGGACGCAGGAGCAGCCAGCTCTGGAGCAGGGCAGGGGTAATAGATTGAGGACCACTTCCCAGGCCCCTCCTGGCCACCTGGCCTGGCTCCTGCTTTTTTTTTTTTTTTTTTTATCCTCACCCGAGGACATTTTTCCATTTTTTGTTCAGGTAGAGTGGGAGGGAGAGAGAGGAACAGAGAGAGAGAGAGAAACTTCGACGTGAAAGGGACACATCGAGTGGCTGCCACCCACACGACCCAACCAGGGCCGGGGACAAACTGCAACCGAGGTACGTGCCCCTAGCGGGAACCGAACCCGGGTCTCTCCGGACCGCAGGCCGACGCTCTAACCGCTGAGCCAAACCAGCCAGGGCCTGGCTCCTGCTTTTGATCGACTCCTGGTCACCATCTGAGCTGGCCCGTGGCACCTCCCTCTGGGCCCGGGCAGGGCTCCCTCATGCCCCTGCCCACTCCTGCCAGTCCCAAGCCCACGCAGGTCTTCCCCCTCACCTGTCACTCCCAGGACAGAGACAGGGCCCAGGCGCTGTCCTCCCAGGAGCCCGTAGAGCAGGAACTTGTATTTCCTGCCAGGCTCCAGGCCAGCTATGGTGGCCTCCCGCTGGTGTGCGGCCATGGGCACTTCCCGGGTCAGCCCGTTTGTGTCCCTGTACTGGACCATGAAGGAGTCAAAGGGGCCCTGGGCCACGGTCCACACCAGGTGCAGGGAATCTAGGGTCTCATCCGTCACTGTCAGCTCCCCTAGGCGGGGTGGGGGCTGCCACTCCTTCTCCAGGGGAGCTGTGGGGAAAGCCGGGGAGCAACTGTCAGGGCTGCCTTCCCCTCAGCCCTGGCCACTTCCTGGACAGTGAGGGTCTACGGAAGGGTCCCTGCTCCAGTCCGGTCCCACAGGAAGCAGGATGGGTAGCTTGGTCCCCTCCTCCAGAGGCCACTGCTCAAATTCCTTCCTGCCCCATTCCTTCCCTGCTGTGACCAGGGTGCAGGGAGAGCTCAAAAGATCCCCTCGTGCGAGAGGGGTGACGAGCTGCTGAGATGGGCTTGTTTCCCCCACCCCCAGTGCCCTGAGTAGAGATGTGGCCAGAGCTGAGAAAAGTCCCAGAGCGCATCTGGGTTGTCAGGTTGACAGGAGCCAGGCTGGGCAGCCAGTCAAGCTCATGGGCTGCCAATGCCTGGCATGACCACCCTGTTCTCCATCAGCCTGGGCCCTCCTTCCACCCACTTGCCCAGCCCCGAAGCAGCAGCTGGGAGAACGGAGCACAGAGCAGGCAGGGAGACCTGCCAAGGGTGGGCGCTGACTGCGGGTCGGAGAAGTCCGCATCCAGCCCCCATGATGGGGTTCAGGGAAGAGAACTGTGGACTGGCCCTGCGCCCCATCCTCGTCTGGCCGGGGTGACTCATGGTGCTGGGAGTGGGGTGAGAGTCAGTCACCCATCTCCGCCCCTCCTTGGGGGGCTGAGTCACGGGCACAATGACACCAGATTTTTCCTTTGCAGCCGGCCCGCCTGCATTTCCACCTCTCGCCACGAGGGGGCAGAGGGAGGAGGGGGACATTACTGAGCGCCAGCTGACCACGCAGGTGTGGAAGCCGAGCTTCAAGGGACAGAAGGGGCTTCTCCACGGCACACTGCTGGCAACTGGAAACTGAACACGGGTCTGCGTGGCTGCGAGGTCTGGGCTGTCTTTACGACATTACCAGTCAGAGAGTGAGAGAAAGAATGCCCATGAAACGCTCCACCAGCCTGGCGGAAACGGTAACGAGCCCTCGCCGAGGCCTCCTGGGCGGGGCTTCCGGGGAGGGCCTCCTGGGCGGGGCTTCCGGGGAGGGCCTCCTGGGCGGGGCTCCCGGGGAGGGCCTCCTGGGCGGGGCTCCCGGGGGAGGGCCTCCTGGGCGGGGCTTCCGGGAGGGCCTCCTGGGCGGGGCTTCCGGGAGGGCCTCCTGGGCGGGGCTTCCGGGGAGGGCCTCCTGGGCGGGGCTTCCGGGGGAGGGCCTCCTGGACGGGGCTTCCGGGAGGGCCTCCTGGGCGGGGCTGGGAGGCAGCTCGGGGCGGCTCGGGAGGGGCGCGGGCAGCGCTGGGCTCACCTGTGGTGCCTTCAGCAGAGACGGGGCCCAGCTGCTTCCTGCCCACCAGCCCGTAGAGCAGGAACTTGTACTTCCGGCTGGGCTCCAGGCCGGTGACGGTGACCTCTAGCTGGTCTGCGGCCACAGGCACCGCCTGGGGCTGCCCGTCCCTGTCCTTGTACTGGACCACGAAGGAGTCAAATTTGCCCTGGGGGACCGTCCACGAGAGCCTCACGGCGTCTGGGGTCACGTCCCTCACTGTCAGCTCCCCCAGGCGAGGAGCAGGTGTGGTGTCTGGGGCTGAAAAGGAGAGAGGTGCGGGAGAGTGACAGGAGCGGTGACAGGCAGACAGCTTGCTCAGGCCTCGTCAGGGAGAGGGACGCAGGGCACAGGGACGAAGGAGGAGCCAGGGAGGGCAGCAGGTGTCTTTCAGGACAGGATGAGGTGCGTGCCCTAGGCCAGGGCAGGATTGGGCTGCAGACCCCAGGGCTGCAGTTTGGGCACAGACAATGGCACGTCCACTGTCGCCAAAAAGGGGCAAAGGGTGGCCACAGACCCTGGGGCAGAGCTGGCCGCTGGCCTGCTCAGGGGTCTTCGCACCCTCCACGCTGAAGAGCAGGACACTGTACTGTGTCCAGGGGCCAGACCTGAGTGGCGGCCACGTAAGGCCTCAACATGGGCGCTGCCCGGGCTGCCCTGCACATGTCCTGCTGGGCAGGAAGGAGACGGAAGGCCCTGGGCCACTGTGCAGGACAGGCGCATCCTGTCCCAGGCCTCGGCACACGGCCAGCGCCTCCAGGCAGGCTGCTAGCGGGGCTCCGCAGAGAGGCTGGAACAGGCAGAGGGGACTCGGGGTTCAGCGGCCGCCCGAGCAAGGGAGAGCTTCCCTAGCCACAAAACAATCATGGAGCCTGCTCCAAGGTGATCACTGGGTCCCAGTTGTGTAAGCACTGAACAGTGGTGCGGGAGGGGGCTCACCACCACGGGACAGTCCCCGTGCGGACAAGGCAGAGGTCAGGACGCATTTGTGTAACACAGTCAGTGCACGCAGAGCAGAACTCAGGCCCATGCATGTGGGAGCCCCTGGGCGGCCCAGCTGTGAGAGTGGGGGAGCCACAGGTGAGCCCATGAGAAGCGAGAGGCTCCGAGAGAAGAGGAAAGGAACAAGGCCAAATGTGAGGCACAGGCCCCATGCCCACAGACTCCGACAAGAGTCTCCGGCATCCTCATACATTCAAGGACCACGCAGACATGGGCACCGTGAGACACAGGAAGGGGCCCCGCCAAGTGCGAGGAGTGCTGACATCCCAGGGGGCAGCAGAAACAAGAAGAGCACACCCCCACCCCACTCACCGGTCAGGCCCACGGTGGACACGGGGCCCATGCGCCGCCCCCCGTGCAGGCCGTACAGGTGCATCTTGTACTTGCGCCCCGGCTCCAGGCCCCGCACGGTCACCTCGCTCTCCTCACCCCCGACACGCACCACCTGCGGACGCCCGTCCCTGTCCTTGTACTGCACGGTGAAGGAGTCGAAGTGGCCCTGGGGGACGGTCCAGGACAGGCTCAGCGAGTCCGGGGACGATGCTGTCACCATCAGCTCCCCCAGCACGGGCTCCTCGGGGGGCTCTGGGGCCTCTGTGCTGGGCTCTGCGGGGCTTGGGGTCTCTTCTTCTGCAGCTGAGAAGGACAGGCACAGGGAGGGTGAGGCAGGGTCCATGGAGGTGTCCCGGGTCCTTCCCCAGCCGTGGTCGCGCAGGGCCCTGGGGTCACTTCAGAGAAGCCCCTCTGGGCTGGGAGGTCCTGCTCAGTCCAACCTCACCAAGACGCCCAGAGCTGGGGTCAGCTGTGGGGACAGGGCGGCCACCAGCACAGCTCACAGGGGCCCTTCCCTGCCCAGGCCCCGCTGGTCCTCAGGGAGCCCAGGGGGAGGCCCAGGGCACCATGGCTCAGCCTCCAGCAAGGCCAGCACCCCACCCCGGGGCTCCCCGTCCACTCACCTGTCACCCCCACGGCAGAGACGGGGCCCTGGCGCTGGCCGTCATGGAAGCCATACAGGTTCATCTTGTACTTGTGGTCGGGCTCCAGGCCCGAGATGGTGACCCCGTCCTCGTGTCCTGGCACCCGCACCGCCTTGGGCTGCCCGTCCCCGTTCTTGTACTGGACCAGGAAGTGGTCAAACTGGCCCTCGGGGACGGTCCAGGAGAGGCGCAGGGTGTCGGGGGTGGCGTCCGTCACTGTCAGCTCTCCCAGGCGCGGCTTGATGGGAGGCTCCGGGGTCATGGTCGGCGGGACTTGGGTGGTCACAGCTTCGTAGTCCGGAGCTGGACGACCTGGACACAGACATGGGGGACAGGCGAGGTCTCCTGAGTCCTCAGCTTGGCACATAATGGGCTCAGTTGCAAAAGTAAGGCGATAAGGACAGAATCTTGCCGTCCACGGGGGCTCTGGCTCCGAGCCTCTCTGGCCCCTTTAGTGTCTCCTTCCATCACCTCAGTCACCCCTCCTGGCCACCTCACCCCCGACCCAACGCTGCTGTGACCTGTCCCTCTGCTCAGCACTGCTGTCCGAGCACAGGGCCCTGCGGCCACCGTGCCTGGGCTCCCTCCACTGGCTTGTTGGCGTCTCACTCCCTGTGCTCCTGACTTTGCTCCAGAACAAGTCAGGAGGCTCCCTTCCCCCGAGCTTCCTGTCCTGTCCTCAGCTGCCAGTGGACTCGGGGTCCCACTCTCTCCCTAGTCCCTGTCGCTTCTCCTCACCCCCACACCTGCAGCCCAGACTCGCTGGCTTGGGCCACCCTCACCTCTCACCTGGCTCCCACCTCCCTCCTGCTCCTGCCTCCTCGGTCCCCTCTGCACAGGGCCCAGAGGGGACAGGAGACGCACAGCAGACTGAGTGGGTCTCACCTGAGCTGCACAGCCCTCTGTGCCCTGAGGAGCCCTGCTGAGCGCCCAGCTCCCCGCCTGGCTCGAGACTGCCCCCCTCCTCAGAGCATTTCATCCCAAACCCTCCCGTGTGCCCTGGCGCCCCAGCTCCGGGGCTCGGCACCCCGCGACACCGACACCTACACCGTGGTCTGACACACTCTTCGTCCTGTGGCGGTCACCATGCCGACACCTGCCTGACCTCAGGCCTCGGCTGCCCTGTGCTGCCCCCGTCTGGCCTGGCCCCAGGGCATCCTGTCATGTCTACACCCCCTTTGCCTGTCACATTGGTTCACAGCCTGTCTTCCCCCGACCGTGAGCCCCGTGAGGATGAGACCTTGAGTCTCTGCCAAGGTCGAGGTTGACCCTGTGAACCCCACAGTGCTGCGCTCAGGGCCCCGTCTGAGTGGACCCACTGCAGCCGTGGGTCCGGCCCTGTCAGAGCCCCGAGCTGGGGCGCTGCAGGCCGGACGCTGCTTTCTGAGCCCTCGGCCCTCCTGACACCTCAGTCCCGCCGCAGACGCTGCGTCCGGGGTCCGGGCCAGGTGCCGGCAGCCTTCCCTTCCACACCCTGGTGTGAGGAGGTGCTGCCAGTGTGGCCCTCAGACCAGCAGCACCCGCATCCGGAGGGTCTGGTAAGGGATGCGGAATCCCCCGGCCCCATCCGGCTGAACGCACGTGCGCTTTGCCACCTTACCCAGGCCAGGCAGGGGCAGGGGACCCGTGCGGGGGACACTAATGTTTCCACGAGGATGGGATGAAGGGAGAGTGTTCCAGGGCCCGTCCTCCCCGCCCCGCCCTCGCCCCACTCACCGGTCAGCCCCACGGTGGACACGGGGCCCATGCGCCGCCCCCCGTGCAGGCCGTACAGGTGCATCTTGTACTTGCGCCCCGGCTCCAGGCCCCGCACGGTCACCTCGCTCTCCTCACCCCCGACACGCACCACCTGGGGACGCCCGTCCCTGTCCTTGTACTGGACGGTGAAGGAGTCGAAGTGGCCCTGGGGGACGGTCCAGGACAGGCTCAGCGAGTCCGGGGACGATGCTGTCACCATCAGCTCCCCCAGCACGGGCTCCTCGGGGGGCTCTGGGGCCTCTGTGCTGGGCTCTGCGGGGCTGGGGGTCTCTTCCTCTGCAGCTGAGAAGGACAGGCACAGGGAGGGTGAGGCAGGGTCCATGGAGGTGTCCCGGGTCCTTCCCCAGCCGTGGTCGCGCAGGGCCCTGGGTCACTTCAGAGAAGCCCCTCCTGGGCTGGGAGGTCCTGCTCAGTCCAACCTCACCAAGACGCCCAGAGCTGGGGTCAGCTGTGGGGACAGGGCGGCCACCAGCACAGCTCACAGGGGCCCTTCCCTGCCCAGGCCCCGCTGGTCCTCAGGGAGCCCAGGGGGAGGCCCAGGGCACCATGGCTCAGCCTCCAGCAAGGCCAGCACCCCACCCCGGGGCTCCCCGTCCACTCACCTGTCACCCCCACGGCAGAGACGGGGCCCTGGCGCTGGCCGTCATGGAAGCCATACAGGTTCATCTTGTACTTGTGGTCGGGCTCCAGGCCCGAGATGGTGACCCCGTCCTCGTGTCCTGGCACCCGCACCGCCTTGGGCTGCCCGTCCCCGTTCTTGTACTGGACCAGGAAGTGGTCAAACTGGCCCTCGGGGACGGTCCAGGAGAGGCGCAGGGTGTCGGGGGTGGCGTCCGTCACTGTCAGCTCCCCCAGGCGCGGCTTGATGGGAGGCTCCGGGGTCATGGTCGGCGGGACTTGGGTGGTCACAGCTTCGTAGTCCGGAGCTGGACGACCTGGACACAGACATGGGGGACAGGCGAGGTCTCCTGAGTCCTCAGCTTGGCACATAATGGGCTCAGTTGCAAAAGTAAGGCGATAAGGACAGAATCTTGCCGTCCACGGGGGCTCTGGCTCCGAGCCTCTCTGGCCCCTTTAGTGTCTCCTTCCATCACCTCAGTCACCCCTCCTGGCCACCTCACCCCCGACCCAACGCTGCTGTGACCTGTCCCTCTGCTCAGCACTGCTGTCCGAGCACAGGGCCCTGCGGCCACCGTGCCTGGGCTCCCTCCACTGGCTTGTTGGCGTCTCACTCCCTGTGCTCCTGACTTTGCTCCAGAACAAGCCAGGAGGCCCCCCTTCCCCTGAGCTTCCTGTCCTGTCCTCAGCTGCCAGTGGACTCGGGGTCCCACTCTCTCCCAAGTCCCTGTCGCTTCTCCTCACCCCCACACCTGCAGCCCAGACTCGCTGGCTTGGGCCACCCTCACCTCTCACCTGGCTCCCACCTCCCTCCTGCTCCTGCCTCCTCGGTCCCCTCTGCACAGGGCCCAGAGGGGACAGGAGACGCACAGCAGACTGAGTGGGTCTCACCTGAGCTGCACAGCCCTCTGTGCCCTGAGGAGCCCTGCTGAGCGCCCAGCTCCCCGCCTGGCTCGAGACTGCCCCCCTCCTCAGAGCATTTCATCCCAAACCCTCCCGTGTGCCCTGGCGCCCCAGCTCCGGGGCTCGGCACCCCGCGACACCGACACCTACACCGTGGTCTGACACACTCTTCGTCCTGTGGCGGTCACCATGCCGACACCTGCCTGACCTCAGGCCTCGGCTGCCCTGTGCTGCCCCCGCCTGGCCTGGCCCCAGGGCGTCCTGTCATGTCTACACCCCCTTTGCCTGTCACATTGGTTCACAGCCTGTCTTCCCCCGACCGTGAGCCCCGTGAGGATGAGACCTTGAGTCTCTGCCAAGGTCGAGGTTGACCCTGTGAACCCCACAGTGCTGCGCTCAGGGCCCCGTCTGAGTGGACCCACTGCAGCCGTGGGTCCGGCCCTGTCAGAGCCCCGAGCTGGGGCGCTGCAGGCCGGACGCTGCTTTCTGAGCCCTCGGCCCTCCTGACACCTCAGTCCCGCCGCAGACGCTGCGCCCGGGGACCGGGCCAGGTGCCGGCAGCCTTCCCTCCCACACCCTGGTGTGAGGAGGTGCTGCCAGTGTGGCCCTCAGACCAGCAGCACCCGCATCCGGAGGGTCTGGTCATGGATGCGGAATCCCCCGGCCCCATCCGGCTGAACGCACGTGCGCTTTGCCACCTTACCCAGGCCAGGCAGGTGCAGGGGACCCGTGCGGGGGACACTAATATTTCCACGAGGATGGAATAAAGGGAGAGTGTTCCAGGGCCCGTCCTCCCCGCCCCGCCCTCGCCCCCACTCACCGGTCAGCCCCACGGTGGACACGGGGCCCATGCGCCGCCCCCCGTGCAGGCCGTACAGGTGCATCTTGTACTTGCGCCCCGGCTCCAGGCCCCGCACGGTCACCTCGCTCTCCTCACCCCCGACACGCACCACCTGCGGACGCCCGTCCCTGTCCTTGTACTGGACGGTGAAGGAGTCGAAGTGGCCCTGGGGGACGGTCCAGGACAGGCTCAGCGAGTCCGGGGACGATGCTGTCACCATCAGCTCCCCCAGCACGGGCTCCTCGGGGGGCTCTGGGGCCTCTGTGCTGGGTTCTGTGGGGCTGGGGGTCTCATCCACCTCCACCTTGGGAGCTGAGAAAAGAGATGGGGGTAAGGCTCCTTTGGGGACTGGCTTTTCTGGTCATGTCTGTAGGGACATGGAGTCCTTCCTGCTGCAATACTGGCCACGTTGTGGAATTGGACACCTGCGAGCCATTAAATTGACCAGTTGGTCCCGCCTGTGAGGAGAGAGTGGAGACGTTTTGCTGCCACGTATTTGTCGGCATGAACCTCCAGAAGGCCACTGGGACCTGTGTCAGAGCCAAAACAATGTTCCTTTCCTTTGACCCAATAATCTCATTTCTGGGCAGCTATCCTAAGAAAATGATTAAAAAGCAGGAAAAAGTTGTATCATAGGAGTTCATAATGGGGATGTTCATGACAGGAGAGTGTGTCAGAGGCCTGGAGACCCCTGGGGGCAGTTAATTTCGGGAGGGCACTCTTGGCACAAGGCCTCAAGGACCACTGCAGTGCCGTCCTGCGTGCAGACCCCCGCTGCCCACGCGCAGCCTGGTGCCAAGGAGAATGAGCCGAAGAAGGCACAGTCCCAGCCCCCGAAAATGCGCACAGGACTTATGCTCATCGCGGTGAATGGTGGTGACTGGGTCAAAGGTGGTCTGCTGAGTTTTCCTTATTTTCAAACTTTTTATCATGTTGATATATTCTTTTCACTAGAAAAATTACCTCTTAAAGACAAATATTGGATGACCAAAATGAACAATCTGGTGGAGGTGTGGAGTGGGGGGCATCGAACTCTCTAGTTTGATGGAGGGTAACAAACCTGGGCTGTGGGTGAGAATTAACGTCCCTTCAGGGTGTGAATCATACTAATGTCTGTTTTCTGTGAAACCTTGGCCCCTCCCCAGCACTGCTGTGGACACAGACAGGCCACACCCTGCAGTCCGGGAGGCTCCTGCTCTGAGTCTTCAGGGGAGGGTGGGGATGGGCAGCACCCCTCCCTCCTCCCAAGGGGCTAGGCTCATCCACATCCAGAGGCCTCTCCTGTAATACTCTCACCCGCGCCAGACGCCGGCTGACAGCCTCAGGGAAGCCAGCTTGGGTGCACGGGAGGACCTGCACTCACCCTGTGATTCTCCCCTTGTTTCTCAGGGACTAGAAGTATCTTTTTCATAGTTAGAAATGAGATAAGTCTCAAGAGTTATTGGAGTAAAAGACAAGGAGTAAAGGAGAGAAGTCATTATTATTATTTTTGTGAATCCTCACCCGAGAATATTTTGCCATTGATTTTCTTAGATAGAGTGGAAAGGAGGGAGGGGACAGAGAGACGTGATGTGAGAGAGACACAGGGATCGGTCCGAGTGCTCAGCCAGACCGGCCAGGGCTAGAAGACAGTATCTTAAAAAATGTTTCCTGATTATAGAAGAAATGCAGGTCAATTAAGACAGTTTGGACAACACAAACAGAATGAACAGAGAAGGGCGGGGCACCCTGCGCACCCCGCAGCGCCTCCGCCTCCATGTGCGCTCTCCTAGGCCCCTGACCCAGGTGGTGTGGGCGGCACTTCTACACACACGGTGGGCTCTTTATTCGGTGCAACATTGTAAAGCCATTGTCTCATGTTGAAGCACTTGAATGATGGCCTAATAGCTCATCTTATAGATGTCCTCTACCGATTAACTCTCCCAATGTTGGTTAGTATGTTGAGTTCTTTCCTCATTTTTTCCTTTTTGTTATAACAAAGAATACTGTGATTACGTTGGAAAAAAGAACATTCTAGAAGATCAGGCTTGGCCAGTGTCCAACAGCCCTGTGGAGGGGCTGGTGGCCGACAATCAAGAGGAGGCCACACGAGTGGAATGATGAGCTGCAGGCTGGCAAGCACCAAACCACGAAGCATGGGCCACGGCCCAGTGCCACGGAGGGGCGCACTAAGGAGAGGGGTCCTGGCCCTCAGAGGCTGGCAGAACAGCAGAACAGTCAACCAGGTGACCCATGAAAAAAAGCAGTTCTCCCCTGAGCAAACACGAACACCCCCCACTCACCGGTCAGGCCCACGGTGGACACGGGGCCCATGCGCTGCCCCCCGTGCAGGCCGTACAGGTGCATCTTGTACTTGCGCCCCGGCTCCAGGCCCTGCACGGTCACCTCGCTCTCCTCACCCCCGACACGCACCACCTGGGGACGCCCGTCCCTGTCCTTGTACTGCACGGTGAAGGAGTCGAAGTGGCCCTGGGGGACGGTCCAGGACAGGCTCAGCGAGTCCGGGGACGATGCTGTCACCATCAGCTCCCCCAGCACGGGCTCCTTGGGGGGCTCTGGGGGCTCTGGGGCCTCTGTGCTGGGCTCTGCGGGGCTGGGGGTCTCTTCCTCTGCAGCTGAGAAGGACAGGCACAGGGAGGGTGAGGCAGGGTCCATGGAGGTGTCCCGGGTCCTTCCCCAGCCGTGGTCGCGCAGGGCCCTGGGGTCACTTCAGAGAAGCCCCTTCTGGGCTGGGAGGTCCTGCTCAGTCCAACCTCACCAAGACGCCCAGAGCTGGGGTCAGCTGTGGGGACAGGGCGGCCACCAGCACAGCTCACAGGGGCCCTTCCCTGCCCAAGCCCCGCTGGTCCTCAGGGAGCCCGGGGGAGGCCCAGGGCACCATGGCTCAGCCTCCAGCAGGGCCAGCACCCACTCACCCCTCCCAGGCTGTGGGCCTCCTGCGGGCTCCCACCCCGGGGCTCCCCGTCCACTCACCTGTCACCCCCACGGCAGAGACGGGGCCCTGGCGCTGGCCGTCATGGAAGCCATACAGGTTCATCTTGTACTTGTGGTCGGGCTCCAGGCCCGAGATGGTGACCCCGTCCTCGTGTCCTGGCACCCGCACCGCCTTGGGCTGCCCGTCCCCGTTCTTGTACTGGACCAGGAAGTGGTCAAACTGGCCCTCGGGGACGGTCCAGGAGAGGCGCAGGGTGTCGGGGGTGGCGTCCGTCACTGTCAGCTCCCCCAGGCGCGGCTTGATGGGAGGCTCCGGGGTCATGGTCGGCGGGACTTGGGTGGTCACAGCTTCGTAGTCCGGAGCTGGACGACCTGGACACAGACATGGGGGACAGGCGAGGTCTCCTGAGTCCTCAGCTTGGCACATAATGGGCTCAGTTGCAAAAGTAAGGCGATAAGGACAGAATCTTGCCGTCCACGGGGGCTCTGGCTCCGAGCCTCTCTGGCCCCTTTAGTGTCTCCTTCCATCACCTCAGTCACCCCTCCTGGCCACCTCACCCCCGACCCAACGCTGCTGTGACCTGTCCCTCTGCTCAGCACTGCTGTCCGAGCACAGGGCCCTGCGGCCACCGTGCCTGGGCTCCCTCCACTGGCTTGTTGGCGTCTCACTCCCTGTGCTCCTGACTTTGCTCCAGAACAAGCCAGGAGGCCCCCCTTCCCCCGAGCTTCCTGTCCTGTCCTCAGCTGCCAGTGGACTCGGGGTCCCACTCTCTCCCTAGTCCCTGTCGCTTCTCCTCACCCCCACACCTGCAGCCCAGACTCGCTGGCTTGGGCCACCCTCACCTCTCACCTGGCTCCCACCTCCCTCCTGCTCCTGCCTCCTCGGTCCCCTCTGCACAGGGCCCAGAGGGGACAGGAGACGCACAGCAGACTGAGTGGGTCTCACCTGAGCTGCACAGCCCTCTGTGCCCTGAGGAGCCCTGCTGAGCGCCCAGCTCCCCGCCTGGCTCGAGACTGCCCCCCTCCTCAGAGCATTTCATCCCAAACCCTCCCGTGTGCCCTGGCGCCCCAGCTCCGGGGCTCGGCACCCCGCGACACCGTGGTCTGACACACTCTTCGTCCTGTGGCGGTCACCATGCCGACACCTGCCTGACCTCAGGCCTCGGCTGCCCTGTGCTGCCCCCGCCTGGCCTGGCCCCAGGGCGTCCTGTCATGTCTACACCCCCTTTGCCTGTCACATTGGTTCACAGCCTGTCTTCCCCCGACCGTGAGCCCCGTGAGGATGAGACCTTGAGTCTCTGCCAAGGTCGAGGTTGACCCTGTGAACCCCACAGTGCTGGGCTCAGGGCCCCGTCTGAGTGGACCCACTGCAGCCGTGGGTCCGGCCCTGTCAGAGCCCCGAGCTGGGGCGCTGCAGGCCGGACGCTGCTTTCTGAGCCCTCGGCCCTCCTGACACCTCAGTCCCGCCGCAGACGCTGCACCCGGGGTCCGGGCCAGGTGCCGGCAGCCTTCCCTCCCACACCCTGGTGTGAGGAGGTGCTGCCAGTGTGGCCCTCAGACCAGCAGCACCCGCATCCGGAGGGTCTGGTCAGGGATGCGGAATCCCCCGGCCCCATCCGGCTGAACGCACGTGCGCTTTGCCACCTTACCCAGGCCAGGCAGGGGCAGGGGACCCGTGCGGGGGACACTAATGTTTCCACGAGGATGGGATGAAGGGAGAGTGTTCCAGGGCCCGTCCTCCCGGCCCGCCCTCGCCCCACTCACCGGTCAGCCCCACGGTGGACACGGGGCCCATGCGCCGCCCCCCGTGCAGGCCGTACAGGTGCATCTTGTACTTGCGCCCCGGCTCCAGGCCCTGCACGGTCACCTCGCTCTCCTCACCCCCGACACGCACCACCTGGGGACGCCCGTCCCTGTCCTTGTACTGGACGGTGAAGGAGTCGAAGTGGCCCTGGGGGACGGTCCAGGACAGGCTCAGCGAGTCCGGGGACGATGCTGTCACCATCAGCTCCCCCAGCACGGGCTCCTCGGGGGGCTCTGGGGCCTCTGTGCTGGGCTCTGCGGGGCTGGGGGTCTCTTCCTCTGCAGCTGAGAAGGACAGGCACAGGGAGGGTGAGGCAGGGTCCATGGAGGTGTCCCGGCTCCTTCCCCAGCCGTGGTCGCGCAGGGCCCTGGGGTCACTTCAGAGAAGCCCCTCTGGGCTGGGAGGTCCTGCTCAGTCCAACCTCACCAAGACGCCCAGAGCTGGGGTCAGCTGTGGGGACAGGGCGGCCACCAGCACAGCTCACAGGGGCCCTTCCCTGCCCAGGCCCCGCTGGTCCTCAGGGAGCCCAGGGGGAGGCCCAGGGCACCATGGCTCAGCCTCCAGCAGGGCCAGCACCCACTCACCCCTCCCAGGCTGTGGGCCTCCTGCGGGCTCCCACCCCGGGGCTCCCCGTCCACTTACCTGTCACCCCCATGGCAGAGACGGGGCCCTGGCGCTGGCCGTCATGGAAGCCATACAGGTTCATCTTGTACTTGTGGTCGGGCTCCAGGCCCGAGATGGTGACCCCGTCCTCGTGTCCTGGCACCCGCACCGCCTTGGGCTGCCCGTCCCCGTTCTTGTACTGGACCAGGAAGTGGTCAAACTGGCCCTCGGGGACGGTCCAGGAGAGGCGCAGGGTGTCGGGGGTGGCGTCCGTCACTGTCAGCTCCCCCAGGCGCGGCTCGTCTTTGGGAGCTGGGAAGAGAGGCAAACAGAAGCTCTCCTATTGTTGGGAGGAGTTGCTAAGCCCCCAGCTATCCTGGATTCAGATCAGAAGTGGTCCCGCTTTGGGCCGAACTTAAGATCCATTTCTGGTTCTGATCATCAGGGCTCTGTGGCCTCTTCTTTTTTTTTTTATCCTCACCCGAGGACAGTTTTCCATATTTTGTTCAGATAGAGTGGGAGGGAGAGAGAGAGAGAAACATCCACGTGAAAGGGACACATCGAGTGGTCGCCACCCGCATGACCCAACCAGGGCTGGGAACAAACTACAACCGAGGTACATGCCCTTAGCGGGAACCGAACCGGGTCTCTCTGGACCGCAGGCCGACGCTCTAAACACTGAGCAAACCCGCCTGGCATGACTGCTCCTTTTAAAGGTATAAAGGTATAATGATTATCATGTGATTTTTTTTTCTTTATTGATTTTAGAGAGAGAGGAAGGGAGAGAGAGAGAGAGATAGAAACATCGATGAGAGAGGGCATCGTTTGGCTGCCTCCTGCATGTCCCCCACTGGGGATCAGGCCCACAACCTGGGCATGTGCCCTGACTGGGAATCAAACCGACGACCTCCTGGTGCCTAGGTCGAAGTTCAACCACTGAGCCACAGCGGCCAGGCCATGTGGTTATTTTAAATTGCATTTTCTAAGAGAGGACCATGAATATGTAGGGATGAAGGAGTGTCTGGGGTGAGCATGGACAGGCCAGGCGTCTGCGCCAGGAGGAGCAGTTTGGTGTATACAGGAGTACAGTGCTGCCCCCACGTGGTGGGCCCTGAAATGTGCTCAGTGAAGTGGGCACAGAAGAGTGCGCTGTGCCCTCCTTGCATGGCCCCGGAGTGGCAGGGCGATGGGCAGCCCCCGTGAGGGTGCCCGGTCTGCCTCGGAAGGGGCTGGACCGGGCTTTCTCTCCGGGTGGTGGAGAAGCCCTGAAAGAGGCAGTGGGGAAGCAGGAGGCATTTCTGGTATGTGAGTTATGTCAGTAACTTGTGTGGGGCCCAGAGCCTTCCTGGGGAGGCGGGCAGTGAGTGGGGGACAGCAAGCCGACGGGCGGAGTCGACCTCTGGTGGAAGCAGTGATGACCCCTGGGACCCCTTCCTCTTTGTGTATATGTTCAAAATTGTATATCATAAATATCTGTTGAATGCATTAATATACTGAAGTTTAGGTCCAACCCCCAAACAGAGCTCTTCCCAGAATTCCCAGGTGAAGCAGAGAGCCACGCGGGCCAGGGCATAATTGCCTCGGAGTCTCAGTCCCAAAGGGCCTCTCGGATGGCCGGGCGCTCCCCTGAGACCTGCTTCTCCTGTGCCGGACCACCCCTGTCCTGAGCTGTCCAGTGGACAGTGTGCAGGTCCGAGGCTGAGCATGCCATCTACACTGGAGGAGGCCCTGGAGAACCCACTGCTGACACCTTTCCTGAGCCCACCCCTGGGAGTCCTTCCGCCCCCCACTCACCGGTCAGGCCCACGGTGGACACGGGGCCCATGCGCCGCCCCCCGTGCAGGCCGTACAGGTGCATCTTGTACTTGCGCCCCGGCTCCAGGCCCCGCACGGTCACCTCGCTCTCCTCACCCCCGACACGCACCACCTGGGGACGCCCGTCCCTGTCCTTGTACTGGACGGTGAAGGAGTCGAAGTGGCCCTGGGGGACGGTCCAGGACAGGCTCAGCGAGTCCGGGGACGATGCTGTCACCATCAGCTCCCCCAGCACGGGCTCCTCGGGGGGCTCTGGGGCCTCTGTGCTGGGCTCTGCGGGGCTGGGGGTCTCTTCCTCTGCAGCTGAGAAGGACAGGCACAGGGAGGGTGAGGCAGGGTCCATGGAGGTGTCCCGGGTCCTTCCCCAGCCGTGGTCGCGCAGGGCCCTGGGGTCACTTCAGAGAAGCCCCTCCTGGGCTGGGAGGTCCTGCTCAGTCCAACCTCACCAAGACGCCCAGAGCTGGGGTCAGCTGTGGGGACAGGGCGGCCACCAGCACAGCTCACAGGGGCCCTTCCCTGCCCAGGCCCCGCTGGTCCTCAGGGAGCCCAGGGGGAGGCCCAGGGCACCATGGCTCAGCCTCCAGCAGGGCCAGCACCCACTCACCCCTCCCAGGCTGTGGGCCTCCTGCGGGCTCCCACCCCGGGGCTCCCCGTCCACTCACCTGTCACCCCCATGGCAGAGACGGGGCCCTGGCGCTGGCCGTCATGGAAGCCATACAGGTTCATCTTGTACTTGTGGTCGGGCTCCAGGCCCAAGATGGTGACCCCGTCCTCGTGTCCTGGCACCCGCACCGCCTTGGGCTGCCCGTCCCCGTTCTTGTACTGGACCAGGAAGTGGTCAAACTGGCCCTCGGGGACGGTCCAGGAGAGGCGCAGGGTGTCGGGGGTGGCGTCCATCACTGTCAGCTCCCCCAGGCGCGGCTTGATGGGAGGCTCCGGGGTCATGGTGGGAGGTTCTGAAGGTTCACCCTCCTCTTCTGTTGGGACTGAATGGAGAGAGAGAGAGAGACCTGAGAGGGGACCAGTGTCCTCCGGCCTCCTCTCCTCGGGCTCTCATGCCGTTTGGGAGGAAGCAGGGTGTGCGGAGTTCCTCCTGCTCACCTGTGAGGGCCTGGACCTGGGCAGGACCCAGACGCTGCTGGCCACGGAAACCGTACAAATTCACCAGGTATCTGTGGTTGGACTCCAGGCCAGAGAGGGTGATGCTGTGCTGGTTGCCCCCTACACTGACAACTTGGAGTTGCCCATCCTGGTGTGTGTATTGGACCTCGAAGGAGTCAAACTCCCCCTCAGTGACTGTCCAGGACAGGTGCAGGGTGTGTGGGGTGGTCTCGTCCACGGTCAGCTCCCTGAAGTGGGGCTCAGACTCTGGAGGGTTTGGGGCCGTGGTCTCAGCTCCTATTTCCTCCCTGGGGGCTGGTTCAGAGAGACAGGTAGAGCTGAGTGACAGGTGTGTCACTGCAACAGGTCTCCCCAAGGGGAGGGCAGGAGGTGAAGCAAGAAGCCAGCGGTAAAGAGGCCAACTATCAATACACAGGGAGGAATTTCAGAAGCATGATGCTAAATGCAAGAAGCCAAACACAAAAGACTATGTATTGTGTGATTCTGCAAATGAAGTGCTTCAAAAGGCAGAAAAGACAGATGGCAGTCCATGGTGCCAGAGACTGGGGAAGGGGAATCGGCTCCTAGGGGCACAGTGAACTCTGGGGTCCAGGGAAATGTTTTACAGCTCAGTTGTGGTGATGATTTCATGACATACATATGCCCAAACTCATTGAATTATTCCCTTTATATGGGTGAATTTCATTGCATGTAAATTAGATCTCCTATAGATCCCCAGAGGGGTACAGGAAGCTCAGAAATGGCGTGACTGTGGCTGGGTAAGGCTGGAGAGCCTGGCAGGAAGGAGGGACAGTCTATTGTCACAGCCACACTCACCTGTCACGGCGATGGCAGAGACGGGCCCCACGCGCCTGCCCTTGTACAGGCCGTAGAGAAGCAGCATGTACCTGCGGGCGGGGTCCAGGCCCGAGACCCGGACCTCCCTCAGGCTGCCCTCCACAGGCACCGCCTGCTGCTGCCCGTCCCTGTCCTCGTACTGGACCACGAAGGAGTCAAACTGGCCCTCGGGGACCGTCCACGCGAGGCCCACGGAGTCTGGTGTCACGCTGGTCACCTGCAGCTCCTCCCCCAGATGGGGTTTTGGGGGAAGCTTTGTCCCAGCACCATCCGGAGCACTCTGGGTCTCTGAGACAGACACAGAGGAGATGGCTGAGATGTTTCTGGAAGCCTGGGTGACCTCAAAGGGCAGCATCGAGGTGGGAGAGGCTTGGCCATGGCCGACCCCGAAGGGCTGGTGCCATGGGCTTACGCAAGAAGAGTGGACTGGGTCCCAGGCCAAGTGGCTGACCAGGCAGCAGCCGACAGCAGCAGCATGAGCCAGCACCTGCGGGCCTGGCGGCAGGGCGCCCCGCAGGCGGCCTCACCTGTGGTGCCTTCAGCGGTGAGGAGGCCGTGGCGTCTCCTGCCCAGGAGGCCATAGAGGAGGAATTTGTACTTGTGGCCGCTGTCCAAAGGGGTGATGGTGACTGAGCGCTCCTGTCCCTCCACCGGCACCGTCCGGGGCCCGTCCCTGTCCTTGAACTGGACCACAAAGGAGTCGAAGGAGCCCTCGGGGACCGTCCAGGAGAGGCGCAGCGAGTCTGGAGTAGGGTCCGTCACCCAAAGCTCCCCGAGGCGAGGAGGGGCCCCTGGGCTGGTGGCACCTTGGGCAGCTGACAGAGGAATGGTTCTTGTGTTTATTTTACAAAACGACTCCTTGACTGCCTCTCACTGGAGCTGGGAAAACCCAGAACTCCCCAAATGATCAGTTCTTTCCCCAACTTTCCATCACCCTCCCATCACCAGCACCGCCCCAGCTGGCCTGTGCCTCTGGCCCCTTAAGCCATCAGGAGGACCTTCTGTGCTGACATCTCCGGGAGGAGATTCCCTGGCTTGCTGCTCATCCCATCCCTGTTGCCGTCCAGGCTCCTCCCACCAGAGACAAGTTCCCTGGCAGGGTGCAGGTGGCCGGGCTCGTGTGTCCTTCCCTTTCACCAGGGAGCCCCTGTGAGCTGACCAGCCTCTAGGGAAACCCAAGGGTTCTGGGTCCACCAGAGGGGCACAGGCTTCCTGATGGGGACAGACAGCTGGTGGGGGCAGACGCTATGATGGAGGGGATCCTCCTAGGCCCTGATGGAGGGGGTGCTGCCTACGTGTGAGGGGTCAGGGAGAAGACTGGGAGTTCAGACAGGGAAAGGGCCTGGTGTCGGACCAAGAAGCCATCCTGAGGCCTGAGAAGGAGCTGGCCTGCTGCCCTCCCGGACAGCAGACACTGACGGCATTGTTGTTGTCGTTTCCTGGCAAGAAGGAGTCCCCTGGGGCAGGGGAGGGCCTAGACCGGAATCCTGGAAAGGGGCACAGCTAGGCAGCCAGCCCTGGGCTCCTGGGGTCCCCAGTTTCTCAGGCTCCAAGAGGACGATGGGAAGGAAAGGGGTCCTGCTGGGGAGGCAGGTGTGGGTCATGATGGGCTGAGACAACAGGGTGAGCGAGTGAGAGTCAGAGGGGATATAGCAACCCGGGGGGAGAGAGCACCACAGGGCTGAGGACGCGCAGGGGCAGGGGCAGGGGCGGCTCTGTGCCTCCCCGCCCAGCACCTGTTCCCCATGCCCCTCCGGCGAGGATGGGGCCCAGGGGGCTTCCCCCACTCAGCAGGAGCAGGGCTGAGAGAAGGCAGGGACAGTCAGCAGGAGCAGGGCTGTGAGGAGGCGGGGACAGTCAGCAGGAGCAGGGCTGTGAGGAGGCAGGGACAGTCAGCAGGAGCAGGGCTGTGAGGAGGCGGGGACAGGCAGCAGGAACAGGGTGTGAGGAGGCAGGGACAGGCAGCAGGAGCCGGGTGTGAGGAGGCAGGGACAGTCAGCAGGAGCCGGGTGTGAGGAGGCAGGGACAGGCAGCAGGAGCAGGGCTGTGAGGAGGCAGGGACAGTCAGCAGGAGCAGGGGTGTGAGGAGGCAGGGACAGTCAGCAGGAGCAGGGTGTGAGGAGGCAGGGACAGTCAGCAGTAGCAGGGTGTGAGGAGGCAGGGACAGTCAGCAGGAGCAGGGTGTGAGGAGGCAGGGACAGTCAGCAGGAGCAGGGTGTGAGGAGGCAGGGACAGTCAGCAGGAGCAGGGCTGTGAGGAGGCCAGGACAGTCAGCAGGAGCAGGGTGTGAGGAGGCCGGGACAGTCAGTAGGAGCAGGGCTGTGAGGAGGCAGGGACAGGCAGCAGGAGCAGGGGTGTGAGGAGGCAGGGACAGTCAGCAGGAGCAGGGTGTGAGGAGGCAGGGACAGTCAGCAGGAGCAGGGCTGTGAGGAGGCCGGGACAGTCAGCAGGAGCAGGGTGTGAGGAGGCCGGGACAGTCAGCAGGAGCAGGGCTGTGAGGAGGCAGGGACAGTCAGCAGGAGCAGGGTGTGAGGAGGCCGGGACAGTCAGCAGGAGCAGGGTGTGAGGAGGCCGGGACAGTCAGCAGGAGCAGGGTGTGAGGAGGCAGGGACAGTCAGCAGGAGCAGGGTGTGAGGAGGCGGAGACAGTCAGCAGGAGCAGGGTGTGAGGAGGCCGGGACAGTCAGCAGGAGCAGGGCTGTGAGGAGGCAGGGACAGGCAGCAGGAGCAGGGGTGTGAGGAGGCAGGGACAGTCAGCAGGAGCAGGGTGTGAGGAGGCAGGGACAGTCAGCAGGAGCAGGGCTGTGAGGAGGCCGGGACAGTCAGCAGGAGCAGGGTGTGAGGAGGCCGGGACAGTCAGCAGGAGCAGGGCTGTGAGGAGGCAGGGACAGTCAGCAGAGCAGGGTGTGAGGAGGCCGGGACAGTCAGCAGGAGCAGGGTGTGAGGAGGCAGGGACAGTCAGCAGGAGCAGGGTGTGAGGAGGCAGGGACAGTCAGCAGGAGCAGGGTGTGAGGAGGCGGGGACAGTCAGCAGGAGCAGGGTGTGAGGAGGCGGGGACAGTCAGCAGGAGCAGGGTGTGAGGAGGCGGGGACAGTCAGCAGGAGCAGGGTGTGAGGAGGCGGGGACAGTCAGCAGGAGCAGGGTGTGAGGAGGCGGGGACAGTCAGCAGGAGCAGGGTGTGAGGAGGCGGGGACAGTCAGCAGGAGCAGGGTGTGAGGAGGCGGGGACAGGCAGCAGGAGCAGGGTGTGAGGAGGCGGGGACAGGCAGCAGGAGCAGGGTGTGAGGAGGCGGGGACAGGCAGCAGGAGCAGGGTGTGAGCAGGAGCAGGGTGTGAGGAGGCGGGGACAGTCAGCAGGAGCAGGGTGTGAGGAGGCGGGGACAGTCAGCAGGAGCAGGGTGTGAGGAGGCAGGGACAGGCAGCAGGAGCAGGGCTGTGAGGAGGCAGGGACAGTCAGCAGGAGCAGGGCTGTGAGGAGGCAGGGACAGTCAGCAGGAGCAGGGGTGTGAGGAGGCGGGGACAGGCAGCAGGAGCAGGGCTGTGAGGAGGCAGGGACAGTCAGCAGGAGCAGGGCTGTGAGGAGGCGGGGACAGTCAGCAGGAGCAGGGTGTGAGGAGGCAGGGACAGGCAGCAGGAGCAGGGCTGTGAGGAGGCCGGGACAGTCAGCAGGAGCAGGGGTGTGAGGAGGCAGGGACAGGCAGCAGGAGCAGGGCTGTGAGAAGGCCGGGACAGGCAGCAGGAGCAGGGCTGTGAGAAGGCCGGGACAGTCAGCAGGAGCAGGGCTGTGAGGAGGCCGGGACAGTCAGCAGGAGCAGGGCTGTGAGGAGGCAGGGACAGTCAGCAGGAGCAGGGCTGTGAGAAGGCCGGGACAGTCAGCAGGAGCAGGGTGTGAGGAGGCCGGGACAGTCAGCAGGAGCAGGGCTGTGAGGAGGCAGGGACAGTCAGCAGGAGCAGGGCTGTGAGAAGGCCGGGACAGTCAGCAGGAGCAGGGTGTGAGGAGGCCGGGACAGTCAGCAGGAGCAGGGTGTGAGGAGGCCGGGACAGTCAGCAGGAGCAGGGCTGTGAGGAGGCCGGGACAGTCAGCAGGAGCAGGGCTGTGAGGAGGCAGGGACAGTCAGCAGGAGCAGGGCTGTGAGGAGGCAGGGACAGTCAGCAGGAGCAGGGCTGTGAGAAGGCCGGGACAGTCAGCAGGAGCAGGGTGTGAGGAGGCCGGGACAGTCAGCAGGAGCAGGGTGTGAGGAGGCCGGGACAGTCAGCAGGAGCAGGGCTGTGAGGAGGCCGGGACAGTCAGCAGGAGCAGGGCTGTGAGGAGGCAGGGACAGTCAGCAGGAGCAGGGTGTGAGGAGGCCGGGACAGTCAGCAGGAGCAGGGTGTGAGGAGGCCGGGACAGTCAGCAGGAGCAGGGCTGTGAGGAGGCCGGGACAGTCAGCAGGAGCAGGGCTGTGAGAAGGCCGGGACAGTCAGCAGGAGCAGGGTGTGAGGAGGCCGGGACAGTCAGCAGGAGCAGGGTGTGAGGAGGCCGGGACAGTCAGCAGGAGCAGGGCTGTGAGGAGGCAGGGACAGTCAGCAGGAGCAGGGCTGTGAGGAGGCAGGGACAGTCAGCAGGAGCAGGGCTGTGAGGAGGCAGGGACAGTCAGCAGGAGCAGGGCTGTGAGGAGGCCGGGACAGTCAGCAGGAGCAGGGCTGTGAGGAGGCAGGGACAGGCAGCAGGAGCAGGGTGTGAGGAGGCAGGGACAGGCAGCAGGAGCAGGGTGTGAGGAGGCAGGGACAGGCAGCAGGAGCAGGGCTGTGAGGAGGCAGGGACAGCCCGCAGGGGACTGGGCCCAGGAGCTGGCCTACTGTCCTAGCTGTCATGGGCTTTTCCAATGAAACCAGAAAACAAAGGGAGGCCTGGTAGGTGGGACAGGAGATCAGGTGGTGTGAGAGGGGCCTTTGGCTCTGTTTCAGGGGGTCCCTCTCACCTGTCTTTGCCTCCACAGAAACAGGGTTTCGTCGTTTCCCTGCCTGGATCCCAAAGAGCAGGAACTTGTACTTCCTGCTGGGCTCCAGGCCCTGGACAGTGAGCTCGCGCTGGTCTGCGGCCACAGGCACCGTCCGGGGCTGCCCGTCCCTGTCCTTGTACTGGACCACGAAGGAGTCGAATGTGCCCTGGGGGACCGTCCACGAGAGGCCCACGGAGTTTGAGGTCATGCCCGTCACCGTCAGCTCCCCCAGGCGCGGCTCCTGGGGGGACTCTGTGGCTGGAGCTGGTGGGAGGGGAGCTGGGACGGGGAATGACAAAGAATAGGACTGAGATCTCTGGAGGAACATTTCCCCACAGGGCTCTGGGCTCCCAGGTCATCAGGGCCCTGAACTGAGATGGGACACAGTTACGTCTTTATTTTGACTGACCTCTAACTGAAATGTAGCATTTCCTTCAATGATGAACACAGAAAACCAGCCACGGTGTGGACGAAAAGGGGCCACATACTAACCCTGACAGCTCAGAGGGGGCCTGCATGGCAGCCTCACAAACTCAGACACCAAGGGAACCACCAAGGATGGTCTGAAATCGAAACCTTCTGGCTAATAGCAGGTCATGGCAGGAAGTCATGTCCCAGCTCAGTATCTTCCCGGACAGAGGTCAATCTCCACCTTAATTGAGCCTGTCTGTCGTCCTTGTGCATCTAGGAGAACATCCCTGATGAACATGCCTTTGCAAAAACAAAGTACCTCCCAAAGCACAACCACTGCCCTGGAGGAGAGACCACAGACCCCTCGTCCTTATCCAGTTCACTGTTGACTGTCAACCGTCCTGTACCCACCTATGTAAAAGATGTACATGTCTATCATGTTACTTTTCATCCAATCCTGGAGGTTTCCTCACTTCGCTTTCTCCTACCTCCCTAACCCATCACCAATGGATTTCATGTAACCACTATGTCCTCTCTTTGACTGTAATGTATAAAGCAGGGTATAGACTGCCATTTTCCGGAGCATTTTCTCAGTCTGTTGAGATTTTGCTTCTTGACAATTGTCGTCAGTTTGGCTCAAATAAACTCATAAAACTTCTCTTCAGGTCTGAACATTTCTTACGTTGACAAAGGTGTACTAGCAGTGCCTGTGACTTTGTCACCAACAGAAATCACAGATGTTTCATATCACCTTAGTCTGGGTCACAGTCATCACTGCTTCTAAATACGCCACAAAGTCGTTACTTAGTGAACGGATAAAGAAGTCCCTGCATCACTGAACCTTAACTTTGCATTTAAAAATAATTTGACAGCCCTGGCCAGTTTGGCTCAGCGGTTAGAGCGTTGGCCTGCGGTCCGGAGAGACCCGGGTTCGGTTCCCGCTAAGGGCACGTACCTCGGTTGCAGTTTGTCCCCAGCCCTGGTTGGTCGTGCGGGTGGCAGCCACTCGATGTGTCCCTTTCACATCGATGTTTCTCTCTCTCTCTCTCTTCCTCTCTCTCCCTCCCACTCTATCTGTACAAAAAATGGAAAAATGTCCTCGGGTGAGGATAAAAAAATAATAATAATAATTTGACAGCCTTGGCCAGTTTGGCTCAGCGGTTAGAGCGCCGGCCTGTGGACCAATGAGTCATGGGTTCGATTCCGGTCAAGGTCACGTACCTCAGTTGCGATTCTTCCCCAGCCCCAGTTGGGGTCGTGTGGGAGGCAGCCATTCGATGTGTCCCTTTCACATCGATGTTTCTCTCTTTTCCTCTCTCTCTCCCTCCCACTCTATCTGAACAAAAATGGAAAAAATCACCCTGGCTGGTTTGGCTCAGTGGTTAGAGTGTTGGCCCGTGGACTGAAGGTCCTGGGTTCGGTTCCCGCTAAGGGCACGTACCTCGGTTGCAGTTTGTCCCCGGCCCTGGTTGGGGTTGTGTGGGTGGCAGCGACTCAATTTGTCTCTCTCACATTGATGTTTCTCTCTCTCTCTTCCTCTCTCCCTCCCGCTCTATCAGAAGAAAAATGCAAAAATGTCCTCGAGTGAGGATAAAAAAAAAGGAAAAAATATCCTCCGGTGAGGATAAAAAATATATATACACATATAGTGATAATTGTGTATCTATATAATTGTTTTCCCTTGCAACTCCCTGCATTTTACAGTTTTTTATTTTTATTTATTTATTTTAAAATCCTCACTGGAGGATGTGGTTTTCATTGATCTAGAGATAGAGGAAGGGGGACAGAGAGAGAGAGAGAAACATGGATCAGATCAGTTGTCTCCTGCACATGCCCTGCCTGGGGGTCGAACCCGCTACCTTTCCGTGCGGAGCCACACCGGCTAGGGCTTAAGACACTGCTGTGAGGGGGCCATGCTTCCACCAGACACGTGGCACACAAATGGTGGAGACGCATGTCCGGGAAGCCAGAGGGGCGGGAAGGCCCTGGAGCCAAGCATGAGGCCTCCTCCAGGAGGGCTGAGCGCCCCGACAAGGGGTCCAGGGATGGCTGCCATTCAACCCAACAAAATACAGCAGTGGGGAGCGGCAGCCACATCCAAGCCCCAGTGGGCTTGCCAAGAGGAGCGGGAAACCATTTGGCAGTCGGAGAGGGGAGTGGCGTTTGCACTGCGTGTGGCCCAGGTGAGTGGGAGCCAGGCCTGGTGAGGGGTGGAATGGAGATGGGGACTGGAGGGCACGGATGTTCAGCCTGGGGAGGGTCCAAGGGGTCAGGGAAGAGACTAAGATGTCTGCGACCCCAGGAGAACCTGTGGAGGCCACGGAGGCAGGACCCGAGAGAGATGGTGCAGGTGGGGGACACTGAATAACCACGGTTGGGTCTGGCTGGCCTTCACTCACCTGTCACAGCTCCCACAGAGAGGGGGCCCACGCGCTGCCCACCGTGGAGCCCGTAGAGGAGCATCCTGTATCTCTGGGCAGGCTCCAGGCCGGAGATGGTGGCCTCATGTTGGTCTGTGGCCACAGGCACCGCCTGCAGCTGCCCGTCCCTGTTCTCGTACTGGACCACGAAGGAGTCAAACTGGCCCTCGGGGACCGTCCACGCAAGGCCCACGGAGCTGGGGGTCACACCTGTCACTGTCAGCTCCCCCAGGCGCGGCTCCAGGGGGGACCCAGTGGCTGCAGGAGTGTCTTCTGGGGGCGGAGCTGAGACAGAGATGGGAGCTGTTAGGAAAAGCCGCCCTGGTGGTGAGCATGTCTGTTGCTCCTGGTCTACACTGCACTGGTGGGCAGCGTCTGTCTGGCCAGCAGCCCTTCGCTGGCTCCTGCCAGGCCTGGGCTTGCTGGGGCAGTGGTGTCTGCCATCTCTGAGACCTGGGAAGGCCCTGAATTTCCACCCGTGCCTCAGTGGCTCCCCAGCTGTCTAGACCTTCTCGCCTCCCCAGACTGTCTGTTCAGCAAACTCAGCAGGCTCCTCCCACAGCAGCCGTCCCCTGGGCCTGCCCTGCTGCCTTCCCGACACCACCCGAGTCCTCTCCACCCCCAGTCAGGCCCAGCAGCTGACCCCACCACTGCCCTCACCAGGCACCACAGTTCCCACAGGGTGCAGGGCGGCCCCCGGACGACCGCCCTCGCACGCACGCTCACCCCTCCTCTCTGTCCCCCATTAACACGCCAGTCAGAGATGTTCCCCCATGGCGTCCATTCAGAGCGAAAGCCAAGTCCTTATGATGGCCTCAAGGTCCTGCACGTCTGTCACACCCTCAGTTCCAGAACATTCCCCGCTGCTCCACAGAACCTTGGCACCTTCCCTCTGCCCCTCGAACTCGTCTCCAAGGGCCTCGATGGTGTGTCCTCTTGTCCGTCAGGCTTTCCTCAGCCCCGTCCTTACCCACCACCTTCGGGTCCACCCTCCCGGGCTCACGGTGTCGCGTGGCACCACTGACGGCTGTGCCTCAGGGTGCCTGTCTCCCCCCACTGGGATGCGGGCTCTGCGGGCAGGAGCCCTGGCTGCCCACTGCTGTGCCCGGCGCCCAGCACCCAGGGGTGCTCCACAAGTGTTGGTTAAGTTAAGAGTGCTCTGCATGTCTGGGCTGGGAAAGGCCGAACTCAGGACTTCCTGGTCCCCAGCACCCAGAATGAGCTGAGCCTGGGAGCAGCCTCAGTGGCTGGGCTTGGAAGGTAGACCCAAGAGGCGATCGGGCTGGGGTGGGGGTGGGTGGGATTCCGAGAGCTCACATCTCTGGCTCCTGTGGAGAAAACTAGGCTCCAGACAGATAAAACCTGCTTTGAAAATGGGCTGCTGACCAGGCCTCGGAAGACAGAGCAGAGTCTGAGTGGGTAGGGCAGGACTCAGGGAGGTGGCTGAAGGGGTGGGCGTGGCCACCAGAGTGTGATTGGCATCTGCCTCCCGCTGGCTTCGCACTCTGCACTTCCTTCCAGGAGAAAGGAACTGCCCCTCGCCGTCCAGCCTCACTGTTGGAGCTTTGGCTCAGCTGGAAGGTGGGATTACACCCGCCTGGGCATGGCAGTGCCTAGGCCGCGTGTGGCATCATCTCCTTCCAGTTTAGAGATGCTTCTATCTAGCTTCCTGCAGTTCTCCCGGCTGCCTGCTCTGGTGAGGGCCACCTGCTCCAGCTCACAGTTAGGGCTGGGGAGGCCGGAGACAGATCAGCTGGTCCTGCACCACCCAGCCAGTGCGACATGGCCCATCCTTCCAGGCACCAGGATGGCTCCCCGGGACAGACAGACAGAGGGTCACCCACTGCGGGCCGGCACCAGCCCGCACCCTGCTGCGTGCAGGACAGGAGCGCACGGGTTTTCCCCTCTCCCTGCTCTCAGCGCTCGCTGAAGACAGAAAAGAAACGGAGTGGAAGGTTCTGGCAGCCAAGCCACCCATGTTACAGTGAGGGTGGACTTGTGGGCACAACCCTGGCTCTAAAACCTCGAGGCTCCTCTGCTTCAAGTGTGCTTGTTCTCAATAGTAGACATCGTTCTTCAAAAGCGCGTGTCTTTCCTTCAGTGAACAAAGGGGAAAAGAGAGGCCCCTTGCGGTGACCAAGCTGGGCCGGTCAGCAGCAGGTCCCGGATGCACCAAGGATCTGGCCTTAGTGTTGAGGCCCTGGAGAGGAGGGGCCCAGGCTGGGTCCTTCCTGGTGGCAAGGGGCCCTGTGCTGGCCTAAGAGAGGGCTGAGGGAGGCTCCCACTTGCTGCACAGGCCCCGGGATGAGAGGGGCGGCCGAGGCCTCATGGACACTCTACCATCCAAGTAGCTGATGCAGCCAAAGGACCAAGCAGACCCGAGAGAGGATATGATGATCCTCCTGGTGACAGACACTGACCGCAGATTCTCTGTGCCAGGCCTTCCTAGTGCCCCGAGTTGCCAACTCACCGAATCCTCACACCAGTTCGGTGAGATGGGCGCAACGACCCCGTTTTATGGAGGAGGAAACAGAGGCACAGACAGTGTGAAACCTGGGCACGGTAGGGAAGCTGCTTGCAGCCCAGCCTCCCGGAACTGCTTTTCCCAGGTCATCCCCCCAGGTGACTAGGAGAGTCATTGCCCCGAGGGCTGGAGACACAACAGGAAACCCCCCCACACACACCCACTCACCGGTCAGCCCCACGGTGGACACGGGGCCCATGCGCCGCCCCCCGTGCAGGCCGTACAGGTGCATCTTGTACTTGCGCCCCGGCTCCAGGCCCCGCACGGTCACCTCGCTCTCCTCACCCCCGACACGCACCACCTGGGGACGCCCGTCCCTGTCCTTGTACTGGACGGTGAAGGAGTCGAAGTGGCCCTGGGGGACGGTCCAGGACAGGCTCAGCGAGTCCGGGGACGATGCTGTCACCATCAGCTCCCCCAGCACGGGCTCCTCGGGGGGCTCTGGGGCCTCTGTGCTGGGCTCTGCGGGGCTGGGGGTCTCTTCCTCTGCAGCTGAGAAGGACAGGCACAGGGAGGGTGAGGCAGGGTCCATGGAGGTGTCCCGGCTCCTTCCCCAGCCGTGGTCGCGCAGGGCCCTGGGGTCACTTCAGAGAAGCCCCTCCTGGGCTGGGAGGTCCTGCTCAGTCCAACCTCACCAAGACGCCCAGAGCTGGGGTCAGCTGTGGGGACAGGGCGGCCACCAGCACAGCTCACAGGAGCCCTTCCCTGCCCAGGCCCCGCTGGTCCTCAGGGAGCCCAGGGGGAGGCCCAGGGCACCATGGCTCAGCCTCCAGCAGGGCCAGCACCCACTCACCCCTCCCAGGCTGTGGGCCTCCTGCGGGCTCCCACCCCGGGGCTCCCCGTCCACTCACCTGTCACCCCGACGACAGAGACGGGGCCCTGGCGCTGGCCGTCATGGAAGCCATACAGGTTCATCTTGTACTTGTGGTCGGGCTCCAGGCCCGAGATGGTGACCCCGTCCTCGTGTCCTGGCACCCGCACCGCCTTGGGCTGCCCGTCCCCGTTCTTGTACTGGACCAGGAAGTGGTCAAACTGGCCCTCGGGGACGGTCCAGGAGAGGCGCAGGGTGTCGGGGGTGGCGTCCGTCACTGTCAGCTCTCCCAGGCGCGGCTTGATGGGAGGCTCCGGGGTCATGGTCGGCGGGACTTGGGTGGTCACAGCTTCGTAGTCCGGAGCTGGACGACCTGGACACAGACATGGGGGACAGGCGAGGTCTCCTGAGTCCTCAGCTTGGCACATAATGGGCTCCCTTGCAAAAGTAAGGCGATAAGGACAAAATCTTGCCGTCCACGGGGGCTCTGGCTCCGAGCCTCTCTGGCCCCTTTAGTGTCTCCTTCCATCACCTCAGTCACCCCTCCTGGCCACCTCACCCCCGACCCAACGCTGCTGTGACCTGTCCCTCTGCTCAGCACTGCTGTCCGAGCACAGGGCCCTGCGGCCACTGTGCCTGGGCTCCCTCCACTGGCTTGTTGGCGTCTCACTCCCTGTGCTCCTGACTTTGCTCCAGAACAAGCCAGGAGGCCCCCCTTCCCCCGAGCTTCCTGTCCTGTCCTCAGCTGCCAGTGGACTCGGGGTCCCACTCTCTCCCAAGTCCCTGTCGCTTCTCCTCACCCCCACACCTGCAGCCCAGACTCGCTGGCTTGGGCCACCCTCACCTCTCACCTGGCTCCCACCTCCCTCCTGCTCCTGCCTCCTCCGGTCCCCTCTGCACAGGGCCCAGAGGGGACAGGAGACGCACAGCAGACTGAGTGGGTCTCACCTGAGCTGCACAGCCCTCTGTGCCCTGAGGAGCCCTGCTGAGCGCCCAGCTCCCCGCCTGGCTCGAGACTGCCCCCCTCCTCAGAGCATTTCATCCCAAACCCTCCCGTGTGCCCTGGCGCCCCAGCTCCGGGGCTCGGCACCGCCGTGACACCGTGGTCTGACACACTCTTCGTCCTGTGGCGGTCACCATGCCGACACCTGCCTGACCTCAGGCCTCGGCTGCCCTGTGCTGCCCCCGTCTGGCCTGGCCCCAGGGCGTCCTGTCATGTCTACACCCCCTTTGCCTGTCACATTGGTTCACAGCCTGTCTTCCCCCGACCGTGAGCCCCGTGAGGATGAGACCTTGTGTCTCTGCCAAGGTCGAGGTTGACCCTGTGAACCCCACAGTGCTGGGCTCAGGGCCCCGTCTGAGTGGACCCACTGCAGCCGTGGGTCCGGCCCTGTCAGAGCCACGAGCTGGGGCGCTGCAGGCCGGACGCTGCTTTCTGAGCCCTCGGCCCTCCTGACACCTCAGTCCCGCCGCAGACGCTGCGCCCGGGGTCCGGGCCACGTGCCGGCAGCCTTCCCTCCCACACCCTGGTGTGAGGAGGTGCTGCCAGTGTGGCCCTCAGACCAGCAGCACCCGCATCCGGAGGGTCTGGTCAGGGATGCGGAATCCCCCGGCCCCATCCGGCTGAACGCACGTGCGCTTTGCCACCTTACCCAGGCCAGGCAGGTGCAGGGGACCCGTGCGGGGGACACTAATGTTTCCACGAGGATGGGATGAAGGGAGAGTGTTCCAGGGCCCGTCCTCCCCGCCCCGCCCTCGCCCCACTCACCGGTCAGCCCCACGGTGGACACGGGGCCCATGCGCCGCCCCCCGTGCAGGCCGTACAGGTGCATCTTGTACTTGCGCCCCGGCTCCAGGCCCTGCACGGTCACCTCGCTCTCCTCACCCCCGACACGCACCACCTGGGGACGCCCGTCCCTGTCCTTGTACTGGACGGTGAAGGAGTCGAAGTGGCCCTGGGGGACGGTCCAGGACAGGCTCAGCGAGTCCGGGGACGATGCTGTCACCATCAGCTCCCCCAGCACGGGCTCCTCGGGGGGCTCTGGGGCCTCTGTGCTGGGCTCTGCGGGGCTGGGGGTCTCTTCCTCTGCAGCTGAGAAGGACAGGCACAGGGAGGGTGAGGCAGGGTCCATGGAGGTGTCCCAGCTCCTTCCCCAGCCGTGGTCGCGCAGGGCCCTGGGGTCACTTCAGAGAAGCCCCTCCTGGGCTGGGAGGTCCTGCTCAGTCCAACCTCACCAAGACGCCCAGAGCTGGGGTCAGCTGTGGGGACAGGGCGGCCACCAGCACAGCTCACAGGGGCCCTTCCCTGCCCAGGCCCCGCTGGTCCTCAGGGAGCCCAGGGGGAGGCCCAGGGCACCATGGCTCAGCCTCCAGCAGGGCCAGCACCCACTCACCCCTCCCAGGCTGTGGGCCTCCTGCGGGCTCCCACCCCGGGGCTCCCCGTCCACTCACCTGTCACCCCAACGGCAGAGACGGGGCCCTGGCGCTGGCCGTCATGGAAGCCATACAGGTTCATCTTGTACTTGTGGTCGGGCTCCAGGCCCGAGATGGTGACCCTGTCCTCGTGTCCTGGCACCCGCACCGCCTTGGGCTGCCCGTCCCCGTTCTTGTACTGCACCAGGAAGTGGTCAAACTGGCCCTCGGGGACGGTCCAGGAGAGGCGCAGGGTGTCGGGGGTGGCGTCCGTCACTGTCAGCTCCCCCAGGTGGGGCTCCTCTGGCGGCTTCGGGGCCTCTGTGCTGGGTTTTATGAGGCTTAGGGTTTCTTGGGGGGCTGAGAAAACAGATGGGGATACAGGTTTAAAGGGCCTGGCTCTGCTGGTGAGGTATACATGGCGATCGGGCAGGTCCGGCCGGTGTTCTTCTGGAGCTAGGGCTCGTGGTTTGTCGCCTTGTGTGAGCCGCTCCGAGCTCTTCCCCGGAGACATGGCTCAGGGCCTGAGCTCCTGTCCGGCAGTGGTAGCCACCTGCACCAGTGAGTCTGTGGGTGGGGTGCCCCGCTGTCTGCGACGGGGGACTGGATCTCCAAGGTGCTGTCTGCCAGCCACTGCAGTGCTAGCCGCAGGCGGTAAGGCCCCTCCCCAGCCACCTCGGGCTCCCCAGGCCCACCCCACTGCAGGGCAGCGATGGAATGTCCTTCGCTGAGGCCTCCCGGTGGCCATGGCGGTGGTGGCTGTGGCCCTCCCTCCCCTTTAACTCTCAGGAAGGAGTCACTAAGGCAGGGCTTTAGACACAAGTGAAAGACCGGGGTTGGGAGGGCCCTGCTCTTCTGGACTGTGTCTAGAATCAGCCCCGGCACCCATATCAGCTGTGCAGGGTCTCTGCCGAGGCTCCATGGGCTGGGAGACTGACATGGCAGCCAGCCCTTCTGTGCCCACTCCCAGGTCCATCGGGACCACTCAGGGGAAGGAGGCTGAGGAGGGAGTGGGCAGAACGACAGCGAGGGATGATGGGAAGGTGAGGATGGGAAGGTGGGGGTGCGAGGAGCCCAAGAGGACGCTGGGAAGCAGAGGGTTAGGGAGAAATGGTCGCTCCCTGTCAGACAGTTCCGACAGGCCAGGCACCATCTTTATTCTCTGGGGCTGTAAATAGAGGATCCAGCCAGGGCTGAAGTGGCGGCCTGGCCTGGATGTGGGGTGCGGCGGGCTGTCCCATCTGGGCCTTGGGGAGCCGGGGGGATAGGCTGGGCCAGCAGCAGGGCGCTGGCTGGGCCTGGGCGTGGGGCCAGGGTCCGGAGGCAGCCTTCTCGCTGGAGGCCGGCTGGCTCCTGGCTCACGCATGCGTGCAGGAGACTGGCAGGGGTCGCGTGGGGTTCGGGGGGCTGCCACTCACCAGTGGTGCCGCTGGCGGTGAGGGGGCCGTGCCGCAGCTTGTTGGCAACCCCAAACAGAGTGAATCTGTACTTCTGGCCGGGGTCCAGGGGGGAGACAGTGACCGAGCGCTCAGGCCCTTCCACGGGCACTGTCTGGGGTCGTCCATCCCTGTCCCTGTACTGGACCAAGAAGGAGTCGAACTGGCCCTCAGGGACTGTCCAGGAGAGGCGCAGCGAGTCCGGGGTGGGATCCGTCACCCACAGTGTTCCCAGGCGGGGTGGGGTTGCTGGGCTGGGTTCACTCTGAGGCACTAGGAGAGGAAGTAGAGGAAGTAGAAAGAAGGGGGCACAGGTCAAAGGAAGGGAATCACCTCCCCTGAGGGCTGCTTTTGGAGGTTGTGCACCACACAGAGGGCGCAGCTGAGGGGCACTGACGGGTTTCCAGCCCCAGAGAAGGGCACCTTCCTCTAATGTCCGGACTGTTGTGGCCCCAATTCTATCCCCCGCCTGGGGAGGGGCCTCAGAGACAAGGGAGCCAGACCCTTCCCCACCTCCACGGCCAGGGAAGTGCTCCCAGCACCTCCACTGCTTCCAGGCTTCTCCTGCGAGAGGGGGCACCGCAGGTGCAGCACCGGAGAGCCTCCCACACCTGGCCCTGGCCCCACGCCCCATCTCCCCCATCTCCCGCCCTCCTCCACTCAGCTGTGTCTCCTCCCCGCCCTGTCTCTGCCCCAGTCCAGATCCCAGAAAGAGATGTGTACACGGCTTGTGGCCGTGCCCTCCCCTCTGTCACCCTCCAGGGCACTTTGGCCGGAGCTTGCGTGGCTCAGCCCCAGGGACACCGTGCAGCCCTGAGTCCTCTCAGGAATCCACATGTCTGACCACACCCTTCATTTTGGCGTCCTGGACACCATTCTCTGGGGCTCTGCCCCTCTTCCCAAGATGCCCTTCCTTTGTGTGCCCTGAGTGTTGGCCACCCCCAGGTTTCTCACAGGCTTGCCCTTGCTCCTGTCTACTGACAATGATGACACCCACACCCCGTCTTTGGGTCCCCCTCTGCTCTCCACACCCACGAGGGCAGCAGGATCACCCCAGGGCCTGTCACTTCCTGCACGTTGACCTCTGCGCCCTGATCTTGCATCTAAGCATGGGCTGCTTCCCAGGGCACCTAGAACACCTGGAGCGCTTCGACCTTAGCAATGCTCAGAAGATGCTTATCTAAGTGTCCTGCCGCACTGTCTTTTATCTCTGTTGTTCCTCGCCTCCAGGAACGGGGTGTCTGATCCAGAAATGTGGGGTGCCTGAACCCCTCGCTCTCCCTCACTTCCCACATCCAGACTCACTGCCACCCACTTTCCCAGCCAGGCCGCTAGCATCTCCTGCTGGCTCTGCCTTGACCCACGCCTGCCGCTGTGCAGCTGTCCTCCACAGCAGCCTCAGTGCATCTGGGAGAGAAACGCAGAATCATGTCTCTCCCCAGGGCCCTCTAGCGAGATCCAAGCTCCTGTCAGACACCTGGCCAGTCCCCTCAGCTGCCCTGTCCAGGGAGAGGAGACAGACACAGACGGTCCTGCAGTCACACCCCCTCCTGCCTCGCTCTCCACAGCTCCCTCTGTCTGCTCTGCCCTCGACTCCTGCCTGGCCCACCACTGCATTCTGTTCAGGATTCACCTCGAGGACCCCTGCCTCCAGGAAGCCTTTCTGGAGTTCCCAAAGCACTGGAAAGACCCCCTGAGGACCGCCCAGAGGGAGGGGCGGGTGACTGCTCTCACTTACAGATCTTGGCTTCGGCCACCAGGGGGCCGTGCCTCTTCTTGCCCACAAACCCGTACAGGACGAATTTGTACTTGCGGCCCACATCCAAGTTGGTGAGGAGGGCAGAGCGCTGGGGCCCCTCCGCAGGCACCACGCGGGGCTGGTCCCTGTCTTTGTACTGGATCACAAAGGAGTCGAACTCGCCCTCCGGGACCGTCCAATGCAGGCGCAGGGAGCTGGAGGTCACATCCGTCACTGTTAGCTGGCCCAGGCGTGGGGCCAAGGGCTTCCCAGGCTTTTCCCCATCCCTGTCTGGAGAATAAAAGCAAAGCAGGCAAACTCAACCATGGCCCTGTCCTTGCCCCCTTCCCTCCCCTCTGCCCACTGGCTCACTCCAGCCTGAACAGCTCCCTCCCTCCCTCGAAGGCTCCGTTTCCCCACCTAGCCCTACGTGACCAGCCTTCCTGAGAAGGGGGCATTTCTCCTCAGCTCTGGCTCTGGAGTCAAGCTTCAGCCTTTCCCCACCCCTCACAGAGGCCCCAGTTCCTCCCCACCCCAAGCTTCATGGGGGAAGTTTCAGGTGCCCTGTGTATTCCCTGAGAGTTTCAAAACTCCCCACTGCTGCTCTAGAGCAGTCTGAAGACTCCTAGCCCACCTGAGCTCTTCCCTTGTTTCCCTCTCTTAGTGGTGCGCTGGACCTGGAGCTGCAGGGAGAACAGGCTTCTCTGGTCTCATAGAGAGACAGGAGGGTGTGGGAGCCACACCCCAGGCCTTGTCCTCCGGGGCTCTGCAGAGCGCCCATCTCCAAAGGCCTGAGCCCTGCCGTGCTCCCTGCCCCAAGGAGCCTCCCCCCCAGCAGAAGCCGGCTGATGAGGCAGTGCCACCACCCTAGCCTGCCCAGTGAGGGGCTGCAGGGGCTGTGGGGAAGAGAGGGGAAAGGGACTTGAGGGTCAGGGTCGTCAGGGCCAGAGGCCTTCCCACATCCACCCTGAGTGATCTGGGGGGTGGGGGGTGCAGAGGAGTGACAGGATGTGCGGTCAGGACACAGGGCAAAGAAAGTTACAGGGAGAATCCCTGTCCCAGCCTCTGGCTTTTCTCCCTTGTTTTCTTTTCCTGGAGTACTCCCCTCCCTGGCCCACCCTGTCATTGTTCTCAGATCCCTCCCCCATCCCTCTGGCTTCTGAACCCTCACCTCCTTTTCTCTCACCAACACTCAGTCCTGCCCTTCTACCCCCATCCCACCTGGGAAGTCCCCCAGCCCAGCCCCTCCCTCCACCTCAGGACCCTGGTCTGAGCAGAAGCCAAGATGTACCCATAATGCCTTGGTAGATGAGAGGAGCAGAGGGCTCGCCCTCAGGGGGGACCCCACGAAGTGACAGCTCGTACTGGGCTCCAGGAGGGGGTGAGGGCAGCAGTGCCTCTCGGACATCCCCTGGCAGCAGTTGGTCATGCGACCCTGGCCCTTTGGGCACCTGAAGGCGCAGCTGGAAGTGGGCAAAGGTGTCAGGTTGCGCCGCCCAGGCCACACGGAGGTGCCCTGTCCTGTCTTTGCCCAGTACTCTCAATTCTCCCAGCTCCTGGGGGCGGTGCTGCAAGCCGGGGGCCTGAGCCCCTTGAGTCGTTGAAGGGCCTGCAGGAGGAGGTTCATCAGTGGCCCCCAGGTGGCCGGAGGGGGAGGACCCTGGGAAGGGCAGGGTGAGAAAAACAGGGGGGTCTGGTGTGAGGCAGGAAAGGAATCCTGCCCACAGGCCTGCCCCTCGCTTCTAAGGGCCTCCGGACATTCCCCGGCCACCTCCCCTCCCAGAGGCCGGCCAGTCCTCCAGACAGCCCTGTCCACCTCACCTGAGAGACAGGCCTGTGGGCATAACAAAGAAATATAGCCTGCCATCCCTCCCCCACAAGACTCCCAGCCCCCTCTGCAGACACGCCCTCCCCTCCCCGCTGGGCGGTAGCTGCGTCTTCCACCAGTGTTGCAGCGAGAAGCCTGGAAGAAAGGAGGTGTAGCGAGGGAAGGGGTGCAGAGGAGAGTGGGTAGTGAGGAGGGGGAGGGTGTTCAGCTCAGGTGGCATCTGGGGCCTATGGGGGAAGAAAAGGCCCACAACCCTCCCCATGCCAGCCACAGGGCACCCCTCCCCTGAGCCCGGACATCCTCCTGTGGAAGAGACCAGCATGAAGTGAGCCAGGAGGTCGGAAAGGACTTGGAAGCGGAGGTCTCCCCACTCACACATGCAGCCAGTAACTTCAAGGCCACCCCAAGCAGCTCTGATGTGTCCCTTTGAGGTCAAGGCCAACTTGTGGAAAATAGCAACCACTGACCACAGTCTGCAGCCACCCTCAGCACAGTGAGTCAGAGCTGGGAACCCCTGGGTTGGTCCTGCCCACCCCACCGCTCCGGTGAGTCTGCAGCCCCTCCCCGCCCACAAATCCACCCCCTGCCGCCTGGAACAGCAGTCTTGATGGTGAAAACCAAGGGATCCCAAAGAGCAGGTCTCCTTGGCCTTGGGTATCTGCCAGGACCCTGGAGGTGGAGGTGGTTTCAGGGTGCTTTGCTGTGGGGGACCCCTGGAGCCTGCACCAGGCAGGGCTTGAAGGCAGGATGTGGTGGGGACGGCAGTCTGAGACCTGAGCAGTGGGACGCACTGAGGGAAGCAGACTCCAAAGGCAGGTGAGCCGGGGGGAGAGGCGGTCCCACAGCCCAGCCCACACTACCTGTGGTGGTGATGAAGGCGTAGGACTTGGAGGTCTGCCCGGCCCGCACCCCGTGGACCTCCACGTGGTAGGTGGTGCCGGGCCTGAGGCGGGGCAGGCTGACGGTGCGCGTGGCGCCCGGCACACTCATCTCCCCGCGGGGGCCGTCTGCGGGCGGCTGCGGCTGCCAGCGCAGCACCACGCGCTCGAAGTGGCCACGGAGCCCCTCGAGGGACACGAGAAGTGAGCCGTCGGCGGAACTGCCCAGCACCTCGGGCTTCGGGTGGCGGGGCACAGCCATCCCATCGACTCCTTCGGGTGAGAGGCCATAGATGCCCTGGTTGGAGTCCCGCTTCCAGGTGCTGGAGTCGGGGCTGGCGGTGGGGGTGCGGCGACGCGGCGGGGGTGCGGGGGAACCCGCAGGGGCGGCGGCTGCCAGGCGCCGCTGCAAGTACTCGTGGATGTGGCGCGCCACGGACGCGTAGGTCTGGTTGGCCCGCAGTGGGTAGCCGTGAGCCCGCAGGTGGCGCTCCAGGTCCTGCGCGCTGCCGCGGAAGCGGCCCAGCTCAGCGGTCAGGTTGCCCCACCGCCGAGGGGTCTGGGGCAGGCTGGGCCGAGGCCGAGGCTCCTCCTGCCCCTCCTCCTCCGGCCGAGGGGGCCCAGCGGGCCGAGGGGGGCGCGGGGGCCGCGGAGTCGGCCGGGGCTGGGGCCTGGGGGGCAGGGCTGGGGGGTGCACCTCCGGGTAACTGTAGTGGCCTGGTGCTGCCGGGGGCAAAAAAGGGGGGGGGGGAGAGCCGATCAGTGGCAGCTGCCCCCACCATCCCTGCATTCCTCCCACGACAGTCCCTTCTGCCCCTCCCACCGGAGCCAGAGGCCGCATTCCGGTGCCCAGGCCCACCTGGAAAGAGAAAGGGAAAGGAACAGTGTCCCAGGAGCCCTCCCCGCTCGCCCTCCAAGCCCGCCACAGTTGGTGCCCTGGAAAGAAGAGAGAAGCCGGCCGCCCTGTGTCTGCAGGAGAGAAGGGGAGCGGGAGGAGAGAATGAGCCTCAGCAAGGCAGGGTCCCCCTGCCTCCGGGAAAGGAAAGAAAGATCCAGGCACCTGTTAAGAGACCTTGAGATTAGTGGGAAATGACTACCATGAGACCTAACTCCCCAAACCCCAATTCTGAAGTCAACAGGAGTGCCAGTCTCCAGTCGGCCTAATTCTGGTCCCAACAGTATCTGACCGCGGGCAGCTGGAGGGCAGTCCCCAGCTCGGTGAGTGGCCACCATCTACTATTCACGGCTCTCTTCATGGCAGCTTCTCCCAGACTCCGGCCCACAGCCTTCCTATCGACCCGAGAGCTGTGTCCCTGGACCCTGGGCACAGAGCAAGCCTCCAGCAGGTGCTTTGGGACTGCCACACACCCTGCCAAGTGCGTCTGGAGGAGCCCGTGAGCCTCAAGAGGGCTCCCAAGGAAGGGGCTTCTCCACTCAGAAACCGGGCACTTCCCTAGCCCTGGCCAGCTGTACCTGTATTGGCCCTGACGGAAGCCGGGTGGCTCACTGCCCGGCCCCGCTCCGCAGTGACAGCCACCACATATTCCACTCCTGGCATCAGGTCAGTCAGCAGTGCCCGGTCCGCTGCAGCGGGCACTTCCAGCCGCACCCTTTGGTTGCCAGCACTGACATAGGACACCACGAATCGGTCCACCTCGGCCTGGGGGCGCAGCCAGCCCAGCTCCAGCGTGGTTGGAGTCACGGCCACCACACGGAGGTCCTGGGGGCCGTCGATCACTAGCCAAGTCAGAGAGAGGAGGGGTCAGGTGGGAGTCTGGTTCTTCAGTCACCAGCTTTCCTTCTGAGAGTCTCACCCCACCCAAACCCTCCCCTCTGCCCTCCTGGAGGGCAGAGTCCTGGTTACTCCTCTCATATCCAGGTCTCCACTCAGGACCCCGCCCCACAGCTCCTGCTCTCACTGGTGGTGATGGTCTTGGAGGCAGGAGGGCCCCAGTTGGTCCCTCGAAGGGCACGGACAGTGACCTGGTACTCCTGACCGGGGGCCAGTCCTCTCTGGTCATAGGCTGAGGCAGAGCTGGGCACCCGTGCTGTGAACGGGGGGCTCACTCCCTCTGTCTGCAAGAAAGAGAGCACCAGGCAGGTCAGGCTGGCACTCTGCTCCTGCCACTCAACCCCCCTGTCACCCCTGCATCCAACTGCAAGTGGTATCAACCTGGGACTGTGCAGAACTTGGCCCTGTACATCTGGGGAGCATGGACAGCAAACACGCCTAGGGCACTTTCTCCATGCCAGCTACTGTTTAAGGCAATGCATGGATATGAACTCACAGAATCCCAGGCAGTGTGACCTCAGAGACCCCTCTCTTGGGCACTCCCTTAGCCTGTTCATCAGCTGTCTGCCAGAATTCTATCCAGCACACAGGACTCTGGCTTCCCCTGAAGCCCTGAGCAGGGCAGGCTTCTCCTAAACTCACTCCTGCTAAGACAGATAAGGACATGAGGGATGCTACTTCAAGTCTCACTTCCTCCCTAAAGCATCTGCATCTCCCCACAGACACCTGCCCCTCCTGTGCAATCTGAGTGTAACCCCTGTCTTGACATTTCCCTTCAGGCACTTTTCTTGTCTCCTCAAGAACAAAGCCCACCTGCTCAGAGTTCCACAAATATGCTTCCCAGTTTCGTACCTGCATCATGCTGGGCATTGAGACACAAAAATAAAAGATATGGTCCCTGTCCTCAGATAGCTCATGCTCTAGAAGCTAAATGTATGGCTACGCCTCAAGTTTCAGTGGAGCCCTACCCAAATCTCTACACATAGTACATGCATGTAGAAAACAACCCTCCTCCCGGTGTACATCTGAGGTCTTGTGATGATCTGCGGTGACCCCACAGGAGAGCTGGCCCCTGCTCCAGACAGGGTGTGCTGGAGTGCCAGCCACGGGGCGCAGAAGGAGCTGGACGCCTGTGAGCCGTCCAGCAGCCCCATCTCACTGGCTGTCCAGCTAGGGCTGCTAATAAGGACGCTCTGTTCTGCTGAGCTATGTTGGCCGCGATGGGGACACCTCCATTCAGCCAAGCAGGACTGGACGTTTCCAGAGGGACTCTCCTAAACCAGAGGATTGGTGGGGAAATCAGCATAGTAAAATACCCAAGTATAAAACCAGATGAGAGGCCACGTGGAGATTTCTGGGTTCAGGGTGAATAAAGCTTTGTCAGAGTTTTCTTGGCTGAAAAGGTGTCCTGGGCACATAGGACCCCCATTCCTCTCCTACTCACCCTGCCCTAGGATACCCCAGCCTAGGAGGCCTGGGGTTGACCTCAACTCAAGACCTGTGAAGTCCTCATCCTTCCTATGACTCAACTCTGTCACCCTTTAGTCCCCCAACCCACCACCAACACCACCATACACACACACCTTGTGCTCCCTGATGATGTCTGTGATGTCTGGTACTTTCAGCAAGACAAGCCCATCCCAAGGTCTCCTTCTCCTTTTAGATCATCTACATGAACCTTTTAGACACCTCTTAGTCCCTCCGGAGATCCACTTCGGAACAGTTCCCTGACAGCCCCACAGTCAGCACAGGTGGCTGGTCTGAGGCAGGCTCTCCAGCCAGACGCTGGCAGCTGGCTTTGCCCCTTAGTAAAGCTTGGCTGCTTCACTTATTGTTCTTGCTAATTTCTAACCTTATCTATTCTCAAAATCAGCCTTGTGGCCCCAGGTTGGGGCTCCACCTTGGCTGGCCCCTGAGTTTATGTCACCCTCGTCCGCCTCTTCAGACCAGACTCAGACGCAAACTCTTCTCAGGCTGCAAGGTCTTGTGTCGCAGTGAAAACTTGGCATAGCCCCTGTCTCCAGGCTGCAGAACACACCCAGACAAAGAGTACCCGGACCTCTTTCTGTTCAGGGGTCACCTCCCTTGGTTTCCTCATGGTTTTTCTCACATTCATAGAGGAGCCAGGATTTTGCAAAATAGCAACATTCCTTAAGTTAGTGGTCCTCAGGCTTGGGGTGCATCAAAATGACCTGGAGGGCTTGTTGCAATGCAGGTTACTGGGCTCCACCCCCAGAGCTTCTGAGTCAGATCTGGCAGCTGAGTCCAACAATTTGCATATCTAACAAGCTCCCAGGTGATGCTAATGCTGCCGATCCAGCGGTTTGAGAACCACTAAGTCAGAGTAACAATGCCACGTATGCAGAGAGGACTGTTCCTCTCCGGTATTCTGAAAATCATTCCAATAGTTAGGTGTGTCCCTTGGCCAGGAATAGCAGAGTCTGACTTCTGAGAGAGAAGTGTTTCCAGAGAAGGTAGAGACAGGCAGGCTTCTAGGAAGATGGCAGTGGCCAGAGACAGCCAACTACTGAATATATTCTGTGCCAAGAGAAGTGGACAGAGAGCACTGGCCAAGGCAAGAGGCACAACTCCAGGGCCACAGAAAGTGCAGGAAGTATGGTCTGAGGGCAGTAGCACAGGCGAATGGAGAATCCAATAGGTGTGTCTGGGGCCCATTTTATTTTATTTTATTTTATTTTATTTTATTTTTTTGTTGTTCAGACAGAGCGGGAGGGAGAGAGAGGAAGAGAGAGAGAGAGAGAAACATCGATGTGAAAGGGACACATCGAGTGGTTGCCACCCGCACGACCAACCAGGGCCGGGACAAACTGCAACCGAGGTACGGGCCCTTAGCGGGAACCGAACCCGGGTCTCTCTGTACGGCAGGCCAACGCTCCAACCGCTGAGCCAAACTGGTGGGGCCCATTTTATAGGAGCATTCTTTAAACCGGGGCTCAGAGAGAACCCAGAATGTGACAGACGCCCACACCCAGAACAGAGCACATGAGCTGACAGCATGGCCAAGCCAGGCTCAGGCCAGCGAAGCCACCAGCCCCATGGAGAGGGAGGGAGCCCAGGGCTTCAGCTGCAAAGCCTCACCTCTTGAGAACACCCAAGGGTGGGCTTGTATTTACTAAAAGCAGGAGACGGTGCTGCCCTGCAACCCCTTCCATCTCAAGTGTTTATTTTAATTTCACTTTCCCTCAAGTTTCTTTGGAAAGTTCCTTTTAAAAGTCCCACCCTCTCAAGATTAGAACTATGTAAATAATACACACAGAGAAGAGAGTAGGAGAAACACTTTAAAATGTTAACAGTGCTTATTTTAGTGTGAAGCAGCCAAGAGTTATTTGTTTTTTTCCCTAGTTGCCAAATTCTTGTCTTGTGATTAAATTATTTTTATATCAAGTAAAAACATTTTTTAAAACAGAAGAAAACACATCCCAGCTATCCTGGTTGGACAGCATAGGACTTCTACCTCTGCTTCTACCTGGGGTGAGGAGAGGCAGAATGTGGCAGGGTGAGGCTTGGGGCATGGTAAGAATAAACAGGCCAGTTGGGGTAGGGATGACAGCCAGTACCTCTGAGCTGCCCCTTCTGTCCCAGAGCCTTCCTAGGGTTTAGGCCCCGGGAGTTATTTATGTTTCCAGAGTCTTGGCTGGGCAGGGAAGAGGGTGCCATGGCTTACCCACAGTGACATTTGTGGGATGCAGGAACACATGAGTTGGACAGTAGAAATGTCAGATGATTTGGGGCTAGGAGAGCAAACACATCATAAAAACCCCATCTGTATGAAGGGAGGTCTCTGATGAGAGGCCACATGGCTTTGTCCTTAGGGTGCCCCCTCCCCCAATGTTTTAACAGTGAATTGGAAGGAGACAGAAAGGATGCTTTGCAATGCACTGATGACATAGAGGCGGGAGAACACTTTACAGACTCAAGATCATTGCAACAACCTAGACACTTGGTCCAAATCAAAAAAGATAACATTGAGCAGAGCCTCCTGCCAAGCCTTATTATTTAGGCTAAAATAGTGTCTCTAGTTCAATGCTGTCTTTTTTCCTCCCTTCTTTCTTCCTTATGTATCTACATTTTCTAAAGTTCCTATACTAAACCTATATACATTTTATAGCAAAAAGTTATTCTAAAAAACAATGTGATCAAAACAGCTGATAGTTTGTGTGACCACAAGTGATACACGTCAACTTTGAGAAAAGTGCCAGTGTCTCCAGCCCGCCAGTGGACTGGGCTCTTCTCTGTGCTCATGTTTTGGGAACAAATGCAAAAAGCAGGAGGCACTAGAAGAGGAAACTCCGGACATGAAGATTCCAAGACCAAAGTCCTAGGGGAAAGGGGTGGAGGAAGCGGTGGGTTTGCCCCTGAGAATGAGTGTGATGCAATGGCTGATGTCCTCCAACCCCTGGGAGCCTGTAGTGTAGGGTGCAGGGCAAGCAAACAAGTTCCCTGTTTGCTGGTGGAGGCCCAGCTGGGACCACTGGATGGACATTATAATGGAGTAGATTTGAACTCAGCAACAACAAAATGAACTAACAGTGATGACCAACTGACTGGACAGCCTCAGAGAGTACTGAGCTCACTGTCACCAGAGGTATTCCAGCAGCAGTGGGCCAGTGCTTTCGGGAGATGCTGCAAAGGCCTTCTGTGCCCCATGTGGGGCAGGACAAGAAAGACTTTACAGCCGCTTCAGGAACCCGGACATCTGAACTCAACCACTGATTACCTGGGCTGTCCTGCATGAGGTGAGCACCCCTTCCCCCAGTCCTGCCCTCAGTCCCTCCTGGAGGGTGGCACTCACTGTGGGGATGAACTGAATTTCATAGGCATCCACAGGGCTGGGAGCCTGGGTCCACTGTGTCCGAACTGTCGTCTCCTCCAGGAGATTCATCCTCATGCCCTTAATGGCTGGAACCTCTGCCAAGGAGAAGGGGGTATAGAAAGCTGGTGACCCCCACCGTCACAGGCTGACCTGCTCAGGCCACACTAAGACATCAGTCTCCATTCACACTTCTCTCTGAGGGTGGGGCAAAGCTAGCAGAGGCCAGGAAAGACCCTGGATTTCCTTCAGCTTCGTCCAGCTCCAGGAACTCAGAATCTCCCTAAAAGCAACCAAAGGGGCCCGCAACCTGCTCATCAGATATGTGGAAGCAGGTTCTGCCTGCAGGCATACACCCATGGTTCAGCTGCCCCTGGCGGACACTGGCTCCCAGCTCCTCCAACTGCCCACTCTCCCCATATGTGACCTCCCTCTTCTTCCTCCAGCTCCCTGGGCTCCTAGGCCTCAGGCCGGCCTTCCCACTGGCTCAGACCCCCAGTCCCTGACGGGACACACTGGAAGCGGCAGCCTCACCTTCCCCGCAGTCCTCCCCGGCATAGCCCTCCTGGCAGACGCAGCTGCCCTCACGACACTCTCCCCGGCCTCGGCAGTCCCCGGGGCATGTCTGGACTGCGCAGTCAGGGCCTCGGAAGCCCTCGACGCATACACATTGGCCAGCGCGGCACAGTTCACGGGGCCCACAGCCCCCAGGGCAAGCGCTGGTGGGAGGCTCTTCCTGCCCACAGTCCTCGCCGCTGTAGCCCGCGTGGCACACGCACACTCCCTGCACACAGCGCCCACGGCCCCGGCAGTCGGCCAGGCAGGTGCGGGTGGAGCAGGACGGTCCGGTGTAACCAGAGTCGCACACGCAGCGCCCATCCTCACAGCGGCCCCGCCCGTGGCAGTTGGAGGGGCAGGTACGGAGGCTGCAGTCCTCTCCCGCGTAGCCCTCCCAACAGGTGCACACACCATCCTGGCACACGCCACGTTGGCTACAGTCACGCGGGCATCGCCTCACGCCGCAGTCGTCGCCCGAGTAGCCGTCGTCACACATGCAGTGTCCGTCTAGGCACTGGCCTCGACCTCGGCAACCTCCGGGGCAGCTGCGTGCACTGCAGTCCTCTCCCTGGTAGCCGGGGTCACACGCGCACACGCCGTCCTCGCAGCGGCCGCGACCACGGCAGTCCCCGGGGCACCGACGGCTCCCGCAGTCCTCGCCCATGAAGCCCGGGCTGCACACGCAGCGGCCGTCCACGCAGCGCCCGCGCCCGCGACAGTCGCCAGGGCAGGCGCGCACGCCGCAGTCCCGGCCTGTATACCCGGGCCAGCACACGCAGCGTCCACTCTCACAACGACCCCGGCCGCGACAGTCCCCAGGACACCTGCGCACGCCGCAGTCCTCGCCGCTGTAGCCTGCGTTGCACACGCACACTCCATTTTCACAGCGCCCGCGCCCTCGACAGTCACGGGGGCAGGCGCGTGCGCCGCAGTCGGGCCCCGTGTACCCGGGCCAGCACACGCAATGGCCATCCTCGCAGCGGCCCCTTTGGTTGCAGTCTCCCGGGCAGCTGCGCACACTGCAATCGTCCCCGCTGTAGCCCGCGTCGCAGATGCATTCGCCGTCCTCGCAGCGCCCGCGGCCCCCGCAGTCCCGCGGGCACGTCCGCGTGCTGCAGTCCTCTCCCGCGTACCCGGACCAGCACACGCAGCGGCCGTCCACGCAGCGCCCACCTTCGCCACAGTCCCAAGGGCAGGTCCGCGAGCTGCAGTCTTCGCCAGCATAGCCAGGGTCACAGACGCAGCGCCCATCCTCACAGCGTCCCTTCTGGCTGCAGCTCTGGGGACAGCCCCTCACCGCACAGTCCTCGCCAGTGTAGCCAGGGTTGCACACGCAGCGCCCATTTTCGCAGCGCCCCCGCTGGCTGCAGCCTCGAGGGCAGGAGCGCAGGCTGCAGTCATGGCCAGAGAAGCCCTGTCGGCACACACACCTGCCTTGCACGCAGCGCCCGCGGCCGTGGCAGTCCCCGGGGCAGGAGGGCCAGCCACAGCTGGGGCCGGAGTAGCCGGGGAAGCACACGCAGCGACCACGGACACAGCGCCCCTGATCGTTGCAGTCATCTGGGCAGGACCCGGAAGCAGCAGACGGCGGGGAGGAAGGGGACACCCCTTCTGCAGGGTCGGAGCAGGTGGGCCCACCCCAGCCTGGCTCACAGGAGCAGGCACAGCGGCTCAAGTCAAACATGCCATGAAGACTGCAGAGGCTGCGAACGTCTGTCTGGCCTGGAGTAAGAGCAAGAGCAGGACCTCAGTCTCTCCGAGGAGAGGTTGAGCCCATACAGTACTCCCCTGAGGCGTCCCCTCCGGCAGGGCCAGCCTCATTTCAAAAAGCCATCTTAGCTTCCAGCTGCTTCTGGTCAGTCCAGGTGGCCTTCCAGGGCCCTAGCAGGTACTGGAGGGAGGGGGAGAGCTGACATCCAGCCAGATGGCTCCTGTCTCCCAGCTGTGCCCTGGGCTGCACTCACCACCCCCAAGGGTGAGGAAGGGTGCCTTTTTCTAATTCATACCCAGGTCCTTTACAGACTGGCGATACCCACCCAACTTCTCCACCTGCCTCTTTTTCTGTGCCCCCTCCTGCGGTCACCTGCTCACCTGTGCCAGCCTGGGCAGCAGCAGGACAGCATCCCGCAGTGCACTGTTCCTTAAGCCCCTTCACCAGCTCCTCCAGGATCTCTAGCCGGACCCTCAAGGCCTGCACCTCTGAAGTGGGGGCAGGGGGCTCAGTGCCAGGGGGACATCCACAGCCAGCTGAAGGGGGCAGGTTAATGCGATGGGTGAACACGACCTGCTTTTCCCCTCCTTCTACGGTGTGCTCGTAAAGCTGAGAAGAGGGGTTCCCCCCTGGCTGAGGAGGGGGCCGAGGGGCTAGGAGTGTTATATTGGGGCGTGAAGAGAAAGGGCCTGCTCTGACTGTGCCCAGCAGCAGTAGGAGGGCCAGGCTAGAGGTCAGGGCGCATTGGGCTGGCATCGCTCAGGAGGCTGCAGGAAGAGAGGGCAAGTGTGAGAGCAGTTTCACAAAGACAAGATGTCCCCCAATACACACATTAGCAACAGTCCCACCACCCACAACCAATCTACCCAACTCACATGCATGTAAAAATCCACATTTAACCGAACCCTAAGGAATACCCTCCTTGGAGAGATTTGGTCTCCAACTCACTTTCTGCTGTCATTTGGTTACCTGGCTCCCCATCTCTTTTCACTATTCCACCCACACCGGTCCTTTGTTCCATAGACACCACAAGCTTGCACTAGCCGGAGGGCCACACTGTCTGCTCCCTCTGTCTGGGATGCTCTTCACTCAGCTCTGAAAGGTGGGCTCCTGCTTGTACAGATTGTAACTCGTATGTCACTGACACCTGGGGGCCTCCTTGCTGCCCAGTGGAGCTGTCTTCCATGACTACCGCAATATCCCACCATGCTCGCTGCCTGAATCATCTGTCTGTGCGGGCCCTGGTTTGTTCTCTTTCTCCCACTACCAGAATGGGAACTCCGTGAGAAGTGCAGGGCTGCGGACCTGAGCCTGCACACAGGAGCTGTCCAACACGTTCACACTGAATGGATTAGTGGGTGAGCATCTAAGACCAGTCTTTAAACAAGCACCTGGATCCCAGCCCCTTCTGTCTTCTCAGGAAACTTCAGGTGTAAATGGTCCTCTCTCTTTTTTATTCAATCTCTCACTCTCAACTAGATCCTTCCATAGGATTTTTAAAATCCTCATCTGAGGATATTTTTCTATTTTATCTTCAGATAGAGTGGGAGGGAGGGAGAGAGAGAGAGAAAAAAAAACATCGATGTGAGAGAGACACATCGATTGGATGCCTCCTGCATGACCCGACCAGGGCTGGGGACTGAACTGCAACCGAGGTATGTGCCCTTGACCGGAATGGAACCCGAGACTCTTTGGCCCCCAAGCCAATGCTATAACTGCCTAACCAAACCACCCAGGGCCCACAGGCTTTTACATGAGCTCAAATATCTCTCAATTTTAAAGAGCCCTTTTTGCCCAGCCAGTGCGGCTCAGTGATTGAGCATAGACCCATGCACCAAGAGGTCACCAGTTTGATTCCTGGTCAGGGCGCATGCTCAGGTTGTGGGCCCAATCCCCAGTGGGGGCATGTAGGGAGCGGCCACTCAATGTTCTCACTCATCGATGTTTCTTTCTCTCCCTCTCCCTTCCTCTCTCTCTAATATCAATTAAAAAATAAAATAAAATAAAAAGCCCTTTTCCTCAGGACTAACATTACAAAGTATCAAAACCCATAATAAAGGTGCAAGGACAGATACAACACCTAAGGCAAGAGAAACCAAAGAAAAAATGAACACATGGGACTACATCAAACTAAAAAGCTTCTGCACAGCAAAAGAAACAACCATCAAAATGGAAAGGGAACCCACTATATGGGAGAACATCATTGCCAATGATACATTAGCTAAGGGGTTAATTTCCAAAATATATAGAGTGCTCATACAACTCAACAAAAGGAAGACAAAGAACCCAATTAAAAAATGGGCAGAGGACCTAAATAGACACCTCTCCAAACAGGACATATGAAAAAATGCTCAGCATCACTAATCATCAGAGAGATGCAAATTAAAACAACCTTGAGGTATCACCTCACACCTGTCAGAATGGCTGCCATCAACAAATTATCAAACAACAAGTGTTGGCGAGGGTGTGGAGAAAAGAGACTCTAGTACACTGCTGGTTGGAATGCAGACTGGTGCAGCCACTATGGAAAACAATATGGTGTTTCCTCAAAAAATTCAAAATTGAACTGCCATTTGACCCGCTGATCCCACTTCTAGGAATATACCCCAAGAAGCCTGAAACACCAATCAGAAAGAATATATGTACCCCCATGTTCATAGCAGCACTATCTACAATAGCTAAGATCTGGAAACAGCCCAAGTGTCCATCAGTAGATAAGTGGATAAAAAAGCTGTGGTACATGTACACAATGGAGTACTATGCAGCTGTAAGAAAAAAAGATCTCTTATCCTTTGAGATGACATGGAAGGACCTGGAGAGTATTATGCTAAGCGCAACAAGTCAAACAGAGAAAGACAAATATCACATAATCTCACTTATTTTTGGAATATAATGAACACATCAAACTAATGGACAAAACAGACCCAGAATCATAGAGGTGGGGTACAGACTGACAAACCTCATAAGAGGAATGGGGGTGGAGGAGAGATAAACTACAGAACATATATGCATATATGCATAACTGATGGACATAGACAACAAAGCTGGGGATGGGGTGGGGAGGTAAAGATGGGGAGGAGGGTGTCAATGGGGGAAAAAGGAAAAACATCTGTAACAAAAATAAATTAATAAAAATAATTTAAATAAATAAAGGTGCAAGGACAGACAGAACAGAATAGGGTCTGGAAATAGATCCACAACATATGTGGTCACCCAATTAATGACAAAGATGTCACTACAATTAAGAGGGAACAGAGGATCTTTTTGATAAATGGTGCTTGGCCAACTGAAAATCCATATGGAAAAAACACCCATCTCTACCTTATTTCGCACACACAAATTAATTTGAAATTAATCTAATGGACCTAATTGTAAAAGGTAAAACAATAACTTTCAGAACAATATATATTTTTTGGAAGTGGTCTCCTTTTTCTTTTTTTCCTTTATTGATTTTTAGAGAGCAAGGTAGAGGGAGAGAGAGAGATAGAAACATCAATGAGTGAGAACATCAACTGGCCGCCTCCTGCATGCCCCCCACTGGGGATTTGACCAACGACCTGGGCATGCGCCCTGACTGGGAATTGAACCAGTGACCTCTTGGTGCGTGGGTCTATGCTCAACCACTGAGCCACACCAGCTGGGCTAGAACAATCTTTTATAGAAGTAAATATAAGAGAATATATTTATGACCTTGGAGTAAGCAAAGATTTCTTAAAACCTAACCACACAAAATTTAACCATAAAATATTTCACACAGCCCTGGCCGGTTTGGCTCAGCAGTTAGAGCGTCAGCCTGCGGTCCAGAGAGACCTGGGTTTGGTTACCGCTAGGGGCGCGTACCTCAGTTGCAGTTTGTCCCCGGCCCTGGTTGGTCATGCGGGTGGCAGCCACTCTATGTGTTCCTTTCACATTAATGTTTCTTTCTCTCTCTCCCTCCCACACTATCTGAACAAAGAATGGAAAAATGTCCTCTGGTGAGGGAAAAAAAGATTTCATACAAAACTTAACCATAAAAAAACTGAGATTGAGCCCTGGCCAGTGTGCTCATTGGTTGCAGCACTGGCTTACGCACTGAAGGGACACAGGTTTGATTCCCACGCTGGTCAGCATGTACCTGTGTTGCAGGTTCCATCCCAGGCCCTGGGCGTGGTGCGTGTGAGAACCAACCAATCGATATGTCTCTTTCACATCAATGTTTCTCTCTCTCTCTCTCCCTCATCCCCCTCCCTCCCTTCAACTCTCTCTAAAAATCAATGGAAAAATATCCTTGGGTGAGGATTAACAACAACAGAAACATACAAAACCCCCCACGAGGATGATACATTGGACCACACTAAAACTGATAACTTCTGGACATCAGAAGACACCACTAAGAGAATAAGAAGGTGAGCCTCAGACTGGGAGAAAATACTATTGATCCTGGAGTGAAGCAAGGCTGAACTGTACGGGTTCACGTACACGCGGATTTTTTCAGTTGACCCACACAGCTCAACTCCACACTGTTCAAGGGTCAGCTAGTGGTTAGAAACTCTAGTATGCAGAGGGACAACTATGGTTATACTTGGATTTTCAATTAAGTAGGCTCTCGGCACCCCTAACCCCCCATTGTTCAAGGCTCAACTGTAAGTGATATGTCAGGAAAAAAATAGAGAAGGGGGGTTAAAATCTAAAATAAATACCTCCAAGACAAAGACAACAAATAAAAGGAAGGCAACCCAGTTTTTAAATTGGCAAAAGACATAAACAGGTACTCCAGATAAGAGTACAACATATCCAGAGAGCCAGTAAACATGAAAAGGTGTATAGCATCACTGCCAATCAGAGAAATGCAAATTAAAACCACAGTGAGATCCACTGGGTATCCAGCAGGATGGCTACAGTCAGAGGAACTGCCGTTGCTCGATACTGGCAAGTGTGTGAAGCAACTGGAACTCTCGTCTATGGCAAAAGGGAGCATAAATTAGAGCAAGCACTGCCCTGGCCGGTTTGGCTCAGTGGTTAGGGCATCGTCCTGCGGTCCAGAGAGACCCGGGTTCAGTTCCCGCTAAGGGCATGTACCTCGGTTGCAGTTTGTCCCCGGCCCTGGTTGGGTTGTCCAGGTGGCAGCCACTCGATGTGTCCCTTTTACGTCAATGTTTCTCTCTCTCCCTCCCTCCCACTCTATCTAAACAAAATATGAAAAAATGTCCTCGGGTGAGGATTAAAAAAAAAAATTAGAGCAAGCACTTTGGGAAAACTGGCAGTATCTCTCAAAGCACATGGCCTATGACCTGGCAGTTCTACTTCTTGGTAAATATCCAATAGAAATGACTGCACATATCCTCCAAAACACATGTACAAGAATATTCATGAGATGTATTCATATTAGCCCAAACTGGAAACAGCTCAAGTGTCCATTAACAGAACAACGGAGACATATATCGGGGCCTTGTCATACAACAGCATATTATACAGCAATGAAAAGTACCCTCTGTTACTGAGACATGAAAAAAATTTCACACACATAGTGCTGAGCAAAAGAAACTACAACACACACACACACACACACTTGTTATTATTTGTTAAATCCTCACCTGAGGATATTTTTCCATTTTATCTTCAGATAGAGTGGTGGGGAGGGAGAGAGAGAAAAACATCGATGTGAGAGAGACACATGGATTGGTTGCCTCCCACACGACCCTAACCAGGCCAGGGATGAACCGCAACTGAGGTACGTGCCCTTGGCTGGAATCAAACCCACGACTCCTTGGTCTGCTAAGCTAGACCG